GACCTATGATGTCAAGACTTTCTTGTTGACCTATGATGTCAAGACCTATCATGTTGACCTATCATGTCAAGACCTATCATGTTGACCTATCATGTCAAGACATATCATGTTGACCTATGATCTCAAGACCTATCATGTTGACCTATGATCTCAAGACCTATCATGTTGACCTATGATCTCAAGACCTATCATGTTGACCTATGATCTCATGACCTATCATGTTGACCTATGATGTCAAGACCTATCATGTTGACCTATGATCTCAAGACCTATCATGTTGACCTATGATCTCATGACCTATCATGTTGACCTATGATGTCAAGACCTATCATGTTGACCTATGATGTCAAGACCTATCATGTTGACCTATGATGTCAAGACCTATCATGTTGACCTATGATCTCAAGACCTATCATGTTGACCTATGATCTCATGACCTATCATGTTGACCTATGATGTCAAGACCTATCATGTTGACCTATGATCTCAAGACCTATCATGTTGACCTATGATCTCATGACCTATCATGTTGACCTATGATGTCAAGACCTATCATGTTGACCTATGATCTCAAGACCTATCATGTTGACCTATGATGTCATGACCTATCATTTTGACCTATGATCTCAAGACCTATCATGTTGACCTATGATCTCATGACCTATCATGTTGACCTATGATCTCAAGACCCATCATATTGACCTATGATCTCAAGACCTATCATGTTGACCTATGATCTCAAGACCTATTACGTTGACCTATGATCTCAAGACCTATCATGTTGACCTATGATCTCAAGACCTATTACGTTGACCTATTCTTTGTCCAGGAAAGATCCCTGAGGTCAACGACGGGAAAAGCTACTCACTGGTAGTTCGGTGCAAAGATGGCGGCTCACCACAGAGAACCTCCGAGGGCACGATAGTGTTGACGTACCAGACGAGCACATCAACCACCACCTCAACCAGCACCACCACGACCAGCACCAGCACAACCTCAGCAACGACCACGAGGAAAGCCCCCAGCACAGACATCTTTGACAGCGACGCCTTCGTGGCCGTATTCGCCATCCTGATGTCGTTGCTACTGCTGGGCATGTTGACAGGGCTGTACTTCCTGCTACGTCTCTGTGGCTGTTTTAACTTATGCACCGGTGGATTGGGTGGATCTGGTGGAAGACTTTGTCCAGAAGACTTCTGTTGCCCTAAGTATTTTCATACTTCTTTAAGATCTGTAAACAAAACATTGTTATCAATCTAAAGCTTACTAAACATATACAGGCATATATATAAGATATATATATATATATATATATATATATATATATATATATATATATATGAAAGGATGTGAGTTTGTCCTTTATGCATTACAACACATTCCAATCGGTTGCTGCGGGGAAAATAGTTCAGTTTTGCTGGGGCGCCCCCGGCTTTCCCTTGAGCGATATGGCGCATACGTTCGTTTTAAGGAGTGCGACTGGCTATGGATTCATTAACCCGAATCAGGCGTTTCCTTCGGCGCTCCGGCAGTTCAGTTTTGCAGGGGCGCCCCTGGTTTTTCCCCTTGGACACTATGACGCCTACGTTCGTTTTTAATGATTTTTTAAAGCAAATTTTAATGAGTTCAGAAAATAATATAATAATGCAATGGAATTTCAATTTGCGTAAATATAGCTATGTATGTCATCCAATTAATCATTAACATTTAGTTCAATTTAGTTATTTTTATTTTTTGCACAGAAAACAATGTTTAAAAAGTATAAGTTACATCGATGAATAAAATAATATCTAAGAAATATAGTTTTAAAATAAAATAAGTCATTTAAGTTGTTTAATTTAACTTTGATATAGGTACCTAATATTTCTCGGGAAAGTTTTAAAAATATAATTCGATAATGTGTCCTAGGTAGGGGGAATAATTTATCATTGGTGGTGTTCGGGTGATAAAAATGGGTGAGGGTGACAGGGCGCTTTTGGCTGGGTATAAATAATGTCACATTATAAAACCTGCGAAAGTATAAAAGATATCCAGTTATAAAACCTGTCTAATTATAAAAAATGTCGCATTTCTTTAAAGTTGTCAAATTTGAAAATGTTTCTATTTTTTTTTCAGGAAAAAAGTTGAGCCAGAGGAGGAATTCTAGTAAGTTGTCTGAAGATATTTTTTTGTTAGTTGAACCTGTGTTTAAGTTCCGTGAATCTGCTTTTAAGTTCCCTGATCCTTTTTTTAGTTCCCTGATTTTGTGTTTATATTTATCAACCCACACTCACACTTTATATAACCTCACATTCCCACACTTTATATAACCTCACATTCCCACACATTATATTGCCTCACATTCCCACACTTCCACCTTATATAACCTCACATTCCCACACTTTATATTGCCTCATATTCCCAAACTCACACTTTATATTGCCTCACATTCCCACACTTTATATTGCCTCACATTCCCACACTCACACTTTATATAACCTCACATTCCCACACTTTATATTGCCTCATATTCCCACACTTTATATTGCCTCACATTCCCACACTTCCACCTTATATAACCTCACATTCCCACACTTTATATTGCCTCATATTCCCACACTCACACTTTATATTGCCTCACATTCCCACACTTTATATTGCCTCACATTCCCACACTCACACTTTATATAGCCTCACATTCCCACACTTTATATTGCCTCATATTCCCACACTTTATATTGCCTCACATTCCCACACTTTATATTGCCTCACATTCCCACACTCACACTTTATATAGCCTCACATTCCCACACTTTATATAACCTCACATTCCCACACTTTATATTGCCTCACATTCCCACGCTCCACTTTGTGAACGATAACCACAAAAACGCCAGAGAACTCTAACCTCTACCCTAACTCTAACCTCTAACCTCTACCCTAACTCTAACCTCTACCCTAACTCTAACCTCTACCCTAACTTTAACCTCTACCCTAACTCTAACCTCTACCCTAACTCTAACCTCTACCCTAACTTTAACCTGTACCCTAACTTTAACCTCTACCCTAACTCTAACCTCTAACCTCTAACCTCTACCCTTACTCCAACCTCTACCCTAACTCTAACCTCTACCCTAACTCTAACCTCTACCCTTACTCCAACCTCTACCCTTACTCCAACCTCTACCCTAATTTTAACCTCTACCCTAACTTTAACCTCTACCCTAACTTTAACCTCTACCCTAACTCTAACCTCTACCCTAACTCTAACCTCTACCCTTACTCCAACCTCTACCCTAACTCTAACCTCTACCCTTACTCCAACCTCTACCCTTACTCCAACCTCTACCCTAACTTTAACCTCTACCCTAACTTTAACCTCTACCCTAACTTTAACCTCTACCCTAACTCTAACCTCTACCCTAACTCTAACCTCTAACCTCTACCGTCCTACAGCATCAACACTGTAGTCAGAACAAACGCCAACTACCGCGACCCATACTGGAAGTCAGGTGGGTTTTACCTTCTCAAGTCATCTCATTCTTCAAGTCATCTCATCCGCAAAGTCATCTCATCCGTAAAGTCATCTCATTCTACAAGTCGTTTTATTGATTTAGCGATTTCTCCCAAAATCCATCTAATCCTTTGTCATTGAATCCCTAAAGTCATCCCATCCTAAAGTCATCCCATCCCTAAAGTCATCCCATCCCTAAAGTCATCTTTTTGCTTTTGGATTGTAAATATGCCCGTGACTACCACTTTGTCAACAGGAGACCATTATGAAACCGGCACCGGTTACAATCCGGCTGACGGTGATCAACTGACGGCTCTTGATGGCGGCTTCAAGCGTTTGGCCCTACCCGCCCCACCTAGACACCTCGAGTTTTAAAAAAAAGCTTTCAACCATATTCAATCAGTCATGACTTTAGGTCCAGCTGTCTATAGAATGGTCCATTGACTGACTTATGGAAGGTCCCTTTTTCATTCACCTATTGGCTAAATGACAGGAAATGTCATTCACTGATTGACAGCAAATGTCATTCCCTGACTGACAGCAAATGTCATTCCCTGACTGACAGCAAATGTCATTCTCTAACTGACAGGAAATGTCATTCCCAGACAGACAGCGACTTAACTAACCCCAGGGCTCTACACCTGTACTGTGTATGCCATTGTAAGAGGCGACTCCATATTTCAGAACGTGTCTTGATCAGAAGACAGAAAATACAAAGATACTTTAGATGACAGATTTACAGAATATTTTTTTAATATGTCTACATGTGCCGGTAATTTAAACAATATCTCAAAATTCAAAATATGCCCAATATTTCAACAAGTTCTCTAAACATTAACATGTGCCAAACATTTCGATATCTTCTCGAACCTTCCATATGTGCTCAAGATTTCAAAATGTTTCGAAAACGTTAATATATGCCTACAATTGTAACAAATTCTCTAACTTTTATTATTCGCCGAACGTTTTCCAAATTATTAATTTTAACATTTCCAAATAAAATTGTTTTCTCTCCGTTTGCATGTTTAATATTTGTTCGAAGTTTACCAACAACTGACATTGATGAATAGTTGACCAACAACTGACATTGATGAATAGTTGACCAACAACTGACATTGATGAATAGTTGACCAACAACTGACATTGATGAATAGTTGACCAACAACTGACATTGATGAATAGTTGACCTACAAATGACATTGATAAATAGTTGACCTACAACTGACATTGATGTGATTTTGTCGCATGTATAGATAGATGGCTGTTGTCTTACAGATAGATGGCTGTTGTCTTACAGACAAGGCATGCAATCAACATTTAACATGTCAATGTCCAGTATTTTTTAATAGGATGTATCAAGATTACCGATTTGTAGACGTCCATGTTTGTTGTGATAGTTTGTAAACAAATTTAATACGTTAGATATGAGGGAAATAGCTTGTGTTTATATCACGACATACACATACACCCATACAGAGAGCAACGCATAGCCGAGCGCACACACACACACACATTTATATATATATATATATATATATATATATATATATATATATATATATATATATATATATATATATATATACATCAACTTCCTGACCTATTCACGCCAAGTAGTTCATTTCATAGGTAATAAAACAAATATTAAAATTTAAAAAAAAAAACCTTTATAGCAACAAGCTTTTTAATGCACCGAAATAAGAAAATAGAACTAATTTGATTTCTTTAATAAAAGCTTTTGTCGCTAAGATATGTAAAAGAAATCATGAGCGACCAAAACTTTTATGAAAGAAATAAAATTAGTTTTATTTTCTAATTTTCAGTCCATTAAAATACTTGTCGTTATTAAGGTTTTTATTTTTATGTTTTCAGCTTTTTAGTGATTCTTAATGGACACCAGCGAGAAAAGTCTCAAAGGTATTTGAGAGGTCCATAAATTAATTTAAAAATCTGGTTATAAAATCCTGTCTGTCTGGGTTTTTCGGACTTTACTAAAGATTGGATGTATTTGATGTTTTTTAGTATTTTCGGTAACTAAATAAATTTTTTTAAAAAAGCAAAAACAATTTGGTTTTCACGTGTAATGGCGACATAAACAATGGCATCCTGCTATTCAATAGGCCGCCATAAATTTTATTGTACACATTGTAAGCTAAAAATAGAAAAAACTAGGTCATGGTTTTTAATTTGCATTGTTATTTAAAAACTTGATCTGTAAAGTTTTGTAAACAAAATGACTATAAAGTGGGGCTGTCAGAAATCGATCACCGAGTTCCAATCAATGTTTGTCTTTCGAAAGTGAAACATCGGGTTATAACTTAGGCTTGACGAAAATAAATAGATATGTAGCTTTAAACTTAACAAATTATTTTCAAGTTCTCTGGATCTGCAACTTGTATAGCATTGATTCTAAAAATATTAAATTTCTGAATTAATTTTAGGCTTAAGTTTTTAATAAAATTTTATCTTTTATCATTTTTATGGTCCTAAATCTAAAAAAAGCACATTTTTATTCCATGTCAACAACATTACAGAAGGATTTTCGTCAACTCACTGGTGTCCATTCATGATGTCGACACGACTAAAAATATTTGTTTTAAAACACCATAATTAGCTCGCGATATCTAAAAGACGATTATCTGCCCCTTGAAAGCAGCCGTTCGTGACATTATTGTACAGACGACAGCAAGTTCTTAATCTTGTTACTCCCTACTTTCAATCGTAATCTTGTTACTCCCTACTTTCAAATCGATTAAAAACATAATAATGTGCCCATAATAGCTCACCAAATAATGGGGATGATTGCGCCTAGCAAGTTATCTCCCCTTCTGATATTGAATAATTTATCGAGTGATTTAACTTTGTCTAATTTAACATCTATAATATAGCTGGCTATGTAGTGTGTCAGTCAGTCATCGCTATAGATTTTGGAACCATAAAAGTAAACACATCACATGTCGTGCTTTTTACTTGCTTCGCAGTGTCTTATTATAAGTGATAAAGTAGGGTTTGTTTGTGTAAAGACTTAAATTTATTTTATAGTTGCTACAGTTTTTACTCTTTCACATAACAAGAAAATATTAAATACACGCAAATTGATAAACATATTAAACGGATCAATGTCAAATATCATTTTCGTTTTGATTCCTAGTAAAAGTGGATACATTTTCATAACAGTGAAGTCAAAAAAACTAATTAATTAAACTGTTTTGTAATTGTGCCAAGGGATGTAATTTATAAATAAATTTAACTCAGGCTAATAAAAAATGTTAATGCAAATTCTGAAGACGTGAAAGAGGACATTATTGTTGGAATATTATAATTAGCATGGATTGATAAAAGGCTGTCTTTTATTTATTGTATTCAATGAACCTACTGTTTACTAATTATAATTTTAAATCAGCTATTCCGCACTATTATACACGCGTCATCAAATTCATTAGGTGCGCAATGGTTTTAGTCATGGAACTCTATTGTAATTTTTTAGCGCAATTTCCATTCTGGAGAATTGCATTTATTAACTCGTCATTTCTGGGAATGGATGGATGAATGAATGAATGTATGGATGTATGAATGTGTGTCTGGGCTTTAAGTCGTATCTCCTCCTCAGCGAAGCAATATCGATGACTAGTTCCAAAAGCAATTATGTTAAGCAAGTTACGAGAATGAACATAGGTCATAAAAATTCCGGGTTTCTTTCATGGATTTCCAGGAAAAGCCAAAAAAACTCGAAAAATGCCGTTTTTGGCCCATATCTCGGCAACCAGACAACTTAGCGACTTGAAACATGTACCAATCGATTTCTGCCATAATTTAGAACAATATTGCCGAAGAAAGTTTTCAAAAATATCCTCTCGTTCGGTCACAAATTTTAAAATTACATAAACACCTACAAACCGATCGTTCTTCTAGCTTGAACGCACCCCAGCATTATACGTCAGAGCTATTTTTAGATAACATAAGGAAATTGCGCATAAATGTCACTAGACTTTTTTAATTAACTTGTTTTTAAATTTAAAGTACTGAAAAAAATGCATGAATTGATAAAGTGCAATATGGTAGGTAAAACACGGATATTTTAAATACTGCATTTTATTTATTTTATACACTGAACGTACTGTTTACTAATTTATATTCTATCTTTCGGTTTGCGGACACGGTGGGGTTTTTATAGTCATTCACTGAATCAGGCGCGTCCGCCGGCGCTCGGACAGGGTGCGATTTGGCGCCATGGGTTAGATGGTGAGCACTATGCGTTTATGTTTGCATTTGAGTTGTGTTTATGGTATAAGTTTGTGTTTGTTTTTTCGTGTTTGTTTTTTAATTGCGTTTGCATTTGTGTTTGCATTGTGTTTGCGTTTTCTTTTGTGTTTGTTTGTTTCGTTTGTGTTTTCGTTTGTTTGCATTGTATTTGTGTTTTCTTTTGTGTTTGTGTTGTATTTGTGTTTTCTTTTGTGTTCGTGTTGTGTTTGTGTTTTCTTTTCTGTGTGTTTTCTTTTGTGTTTGTGTTCTGTTTGTGTTTTCTTTGTGTTTGTGTTTTTTTGTGTTTGTGTTGTGTTTGTTTTGCGTTTGTGTTGTGTTTGTGTTGTGTTTTGTTTTGTTCTGTTCCCAAGTAGGTACATTTAAAAAAGATTTACCGTGGCGGAGCACGGGTATGCAGCTAGTCTATAATATAACGCTGCCGGTAGTGTGTCAGTCCTTCCGTCATCGCTATAGGTTTTAGAATCATAAAAGTAAACGTCGCATCACGCAGTGCTTTTACATTGCATCCTACTGTTTTATTATAAGTAATAGAGTTGGGTTTGTTTAAAAAACGACTTAAATTTATTTTATAGTTGCCACAGTTTTTACACTTTCGAAAACGTGAAGAAAATATTGAGTACATGCACATTGCTAAAACATTAAAAGGATCAGTGTTACATATCATTTTCGTTTAGATTCCTAGAAAAAAAGTGTATACATTTTCATAACAGTAGGGTCGAAAAAAACAAATTAATTTTTAAAAATTTAAATATTTATTTTATACACTGAACGTGCTGTTTACTAATTTTTATTTCTATCTTTCGGTTTGCGGACAAGCTGGGGGGGGGGGGGGGGGGGATTTATAGTCGTTCACTAAATTGAATCAGGCGTTTCCGCCGGCGCTCGGACGGGGTGCGATTTGGCGCCACGGGCTAGACTCTGAGCACTATGCGTTTATTTTTGCAGTGAAGTTGTGTTTATGTTATGAGTGTTGTGTTCGTGTTGTGTTTGAGTTTGTGTTTGTGTTTGCGTTGTGTTTGTGTTTGTGTAGTGTTTGACTTTGTGTTTTTGTTTTGTGTTTGTGTTTAGTGTTGTTCTGTTCTTAAGTTGGTAAATTTAAAAAAAGATTTACCGTGTTGGAGCACGTGTATTCAGCTAGTATAATTATATTAAAAAATAAATAGACCTGTATTGTCATCGAAGTGGAATGTATCCGGAAAGTTCGAACGAAATCGCTGCATTGAAAGTGTGTTGAAATTGAGTTACAAGATTTGCCACAAACCCACAAACAAATAAACAAACAAACAGACATTGCGAACTAAATAAAAGCTTGTTAAAAAATAGAAACTTTAAAGGTTACTGGCTCATATATATAAAATCTAATGTTGATGTTGTTGGTGACTAAAACAATGCTGCTGGTTACTCAATCAATGTTGTTGGTGACTAAAACAATGTTGTTGGTGACTCAATCAATGTTCTGGTGACTCAATCAATGTTTTTGGTGACTCAATCAATGTTCTTGGTGACTCAATCAATGTTCTTGGTGACTCAATCAATGTTGCTGGTGACTCAATCAATGTTCTGGTGACTCAATCAATGTTGTTGGTGACTCAATCAATGTTTTTGGTGACTCAATCAATGTTTTTGGTGACTCAATCAATGTTTTTGGTGACTCAATCAATGCTGCTGGTGATTCAATCAATGTTGTTGGTGACTCAATCAATGTTCTGGTGACTCAATCAATGTTCTGGTGACTCAATCAATGTTGCTGGTGATTCAACCAATTGGCAGACGATTTCCGTCGTGTTGATGTATTGGTGTGTGAAGCTGTTGGTGTGTGTTGGTGTGGTAGTGATGTTGGTGATCTGTTGGTAATGCGATGCGATAAGGGTGGGGCTCATCTAGAACTGGTGTCCTTGGGGCGGGGGCGCTGGTAGTGCTAATCGCTTGAACCCGCCCTCTAATGCATTCTTGGCGTAAGGGTCACCGGCTGAGTTGTAACCGGTTCCGGTTTCGTAGTGATCACCTGTTGGTTTGAAAAGTTTACCAATAGCAGAAAGACGATAAGAATAAAGATTTCACGACCTAAACCAATCCATCATAGATATCCACTAAACATTTACGGACCTAAAATGTGCAACATAGATATCCACTAAACATTCACAATCTAAACAAATGCAACATAAATATTCACTAAACATTTCACGACCTACAAATATGCAACTTAAATATCCACTAAACATGTCAAGGACAGCAACATGTAGGTCAGGGACAGCAACATGTAGGTCAGGGACAGCAACATGTAGGTCAGGGACAGCAACATGTAGGTTAGGGAAAACAATATGTAGGTCAAGGACAGCAACATGTAGGTCAGGGACAGCAACATGTAGGTCAGGGACAGCAACATGTAGGTCAGGGATGCCTCACTTGTCTTCCAGTATGGGTCCCTGTAATCGTTGTTTGTGCGCACGGCAGTGTTGAAGCTGGGGATAATAATTAGGTCAAGGTCACCAACGTTTCATGTGTATCAGGTTAATCAAGCTACTTGGTCGTCAAATGGGCTAAAGCGAAGACCTATATTTGTCAATATGTAGGCTGTAAAGATGTTTGCCAAACTTAGTCAATGTGTAGGCTGTAAAGATGTTTGCCAAACTTAGTCAATGTGTAGGCTGTAAAGATGTTTGCCAAAATTAGTCAATGTGTAGGCTGTAAAGATGTTTGCCAAACTTAGTCAATGTGTAAGCTGTAAAGATGTTTGCCAAACTTAGTCAATGTGTAGGCTGTAAAGATGTTTGCCAAACTTAGTCAATGTGTAAGCTGTAAAAACTCAGCTTTGCCAAAAGTGTTAAAAAAGATATTTTAAAAACTCACTAGTCATCAACTGGCTGGACCTCTTGTCTGGGGAAAACAAAAACATAAGTCAAACTAATTGTTAATATTTTTAGACAAGTAGTTATTACTGTCATAATTTAGACAAGTTAGTGTCATGATTTAAACAAGTTAGTGTCATGATTTGGGCAAGTTAGTGTCATAATTTAGACAAGTTAGTGTCTGATTTGAACAAGTTAGAGACGTTTTTGAAACCTCACTTTGGACAGCAGAAGTCGTTGCACCCATTTTGACCACAAAGATTTCCACTAGGGGCGCCTCCCGCCGCCCCGAGCGAGGGGGCGCCACAAAGACCACACATCCGCAGCAGGAAGTACAAGCCCACGAGAAGTCCGAGCACCAGGAGTGACATAAGGATGGCAAACACGGCCACAAAAGCATCGTTGTTGAAAATGTTGCTGCTTGCAGTAGTGGTTGATGTTGTGGTGCTGGTGCTGGTTGTGGAGGTTGTTGTGGTCGTAGTTGTGCTGGTTGTGGTTGTTATCTGGTAGGTCAACACGATGGTTCCTTGTGACGTCCTCTGTGGGGAGCCGCCATCTTTGCACCTCACAACGAGGCTATAGCTTTTCCCAGTGTTGGACTCAGGTATTAAACCTAGAGAGTTAGAAGAAGTGTTAGCTTTAGCTAAAAATGTTTTTTAATGCACATTTTAGCGCGCAACAAGAGCCAAACCTACAACAAGAGCCACAACAAGAGCCACAACAAGAGCAACAACAAGAGCCACAGCCACAACAAGAGCCACAACAAGAGCCATAACAAGAGCCACAACAAGAGCCACAACCACAACAAGACCCACAGCCACAACAAGAACCACAACCACAACAAGTACCACAACAAGAGTCACAGCCAAAACAAAAACCACAACCAGAACAAGAGCCACAACAAGAGCTACAACAAGAGCCATAACAAGAGCCACAACAAGAGCCATAACAAGAGCCACAACAAGAGCCACAACCACAACAAGACCCACAGCTACAACAGGAGCCACAGCTACAACAAGAGCCACAACAAGAGCCACAACAAGAGCCACAACAAGAGCCACAACAAGAGCCACAGCCACAATAAGTGCCACAATACAAAAACAGCCACAGTCACAACAATAGCCACAACAAGAGCTACAAAAGAGCCACAACAAGAGCCACAGCCACAACATGAACCACAACCACAACAAGTACAACAACAAGAGTCACAGCCAAAACAAGAGCCACAACCACAACAAGAGCCACAGCTACAACAGGAGCCACAACAAGAGCCACAACAAGAGCCACAACAAGAGCCACAACAAGAGCCACAACAAGAGCCACAGCCACAATAAGAGCCACAATACAACAACAGCCACAGCCACAACAAGAGCCACAACAAGAGCTACAAAAGAGCCACAACAAGAGCCACAACAAGAGCCAGAACCACAACAACAGCCACAGCCACAACAAGAGCCACAGCCACAACAAGAGCCACAGCCTAAACAAGAGCCACAACCACAACAAGAGCCACATCAAGAGCCACAACAAGAGCCACAGCCACAATAAGAGCCACAACCACAACAAGAGCCACAGCTACAACAAGAGCCACAACAAGAGCCACAGCGACAACAAGAGCCACAGCTACAACAAGAGCCACAACAAGAGCCACAACAAGAGTCACAATAAGAGCCAAAACAAGAGCCACAACAAGAGCCACAACAAGAGCCACAGCCTTAACAAGAGCCACAACCACAACAAGAGTGTAACGATCGCCGTCTGACAGACGCAGAACAGGCGAACGCCCCGGGTTCGTTTAATGTAGTTAGACAGAAATACCCATGGACAGTATGAGCACACCTGCATCTACGTGGGCTTGTTACAACAGTCTAGGGGAACTAACACGTAGGAAAGATGAAACTCAACTTAGGTTAAACTGACAACTACTATTTTTATTTGTGAACAAGTATGTACAATAGACATTAAGTCAACACCAAAGTATAAGTCATTAAGATCAATAAATAAACCACAAAAATCACTTACCGATAACTCAAAGATACTGAAATATATCTAACAATTAGATATCAAAGTCACAGGTAAGGCCTTGGAGGAATAACACACCTAAATACAATATCATAAACACTGGAATGACCATACAACTTGGTGAAATAACACACCTAAGCAATATCTCATAAACACTAGAATGGCCATAAAACTCGTATGGTGAGGAACTAAAATATATCACCACGAACTGAACAATTCAAATAAAACTTCACACACACACACACACCGCACTGTGTCTCCCGGGGTCTAGGTCAAAGTCCTCCCTCGAGAAATCTCGGGTCGAGTTTATATCTAGGATCAAAACCAAGGGAGGTTACTGTAATGTTGTAAGGCCATTGGTCGAGGATCGGTTAAGGATCTTCAATGCCATAAGACCATTGGCCTAGGATCTGATAAGGATTAAAATCCAAGTCACATGACGTGATGGAGTTCAGTTGACCGAGGAGATCAGGTGAACTAACAACTCTCCCAAGGTCAATTACTTAACTCAAGCCAACTAAAAAATATAAATAAAGAAAAAGACCAAAGTAGGTCACATCCCCTCCCTTTTAGAGAGTCAGATTTGTTACACAAAAAAAAGAAATAAATATATGGAACAAATCTGACATAAAAAATGTCCAATTAAAGTAACTAACAAAATTTCTATATCAGGAAAAAACATCCTTAGAAATTAAAGGGAAACAATTCGCCTTTTAACAATTTACCAAAGCGAAATAATCCTCCTCAAAATAAGAATGCATCAAAGTTCCTTTTGCAAGGGCAACAAAACATATCCATCTGGATATAACATGTGGGAAACTTACAAGGTAATTCATTTATTTAAATGTCCCACTATACCATCAACTGAATAATGTGATACATTTTATACTAACTTAATTCACATTATTCAAAACCACCTTTAAATAAGGTTCATTTGAAAATAACAGGCATTTTCAACAATATAACAGTTTGAACAAAACGTACAATTCAGATCTGAGTGAAAGCTTGGAACTCCAGCCACCAGGCTACAGTTCAATCATACATAACATTTGTAAAATGGTCATAACTAACCACAAAAGTTTCACATGATCAATGTGAATATCAAAAATTGTTTTACATTCTTGACAAACAGTCAGCTACAATGTTATCAGTTCCTTTAATATGGGAAATAACCAGATTAAAGTTTTGGAAAAATAAACACCATCTTAAAATTCTGTTGTTATTCGGTCCCAACTTAGTAGTGAATTTAAGAGGATCATGGTCAGAAAATACCATGACTCGATTTATTGCGGAAGTAACATAAACCTCAAAATGCTGTAAGGACAGGACTAAAGCTAATGCTTCTTTTTCAATGGTGGAATAATTCTTCTGATTCTTATTCAGTTTCCTCGGAAAAAAGGCAATTGGATGGTCAATACCTTGGCTGTCTTCCTGAAACAAGACAGAGCCAATGGCTAAGTCACTTGCATCAATAGCAAGTTTGAAAGGCTTACTAAAATCTGGAGCAGCCATCACAGGTGCATTAGACAAAAAGCATTTAATGTCTAGAAAGGCATTCTGACACTCATTTGACCATACAAAATCAACACCTTTCTTTAACAAAGCTGTCAATGGTTCAGCAACAGCTGAAAAATTCTTACAAAAACGTCTGTAATAACCAGCCATCCCTAAGAATGGAGGGAAAGGTTTTAATTACCTGTGATAATTTCTGATTCTCATCAGATGGTCTTCTAAATGGGTCAAAAATGGGGACTTTAACAATTTTGGGGACTGGTACATGTCATGAGTAGCATCATCAGATTCATTAGATATACTTATAGGTAATATAACCTTAGCTGTGGAGAAAGAGTTAGTACTAACATCATAGTACTTCTTTAATGAATTAACATGGTAGTTTTGTTGCTTCTTTCTCCGGTCTGGGAAGTCGATGACGCAGTCCTTGGTAATCTTGTTGAATGCTTCGTGTAGCACAGGTATCGGTCTCACCGGGGCCTTGGGAATATTTTGATTGGGTTTCCCAACCAACTGACAGTCCTTGCAATGTTTGCAATAACGGGTGACATCGTTGCGCATTCTCGGCCAAAAGAACAGTTCTTTGATTTTCGCCATCGTTTTCCTGACTCCAGGATGAGCTGAGATCTGGTTGTCATGGGCCAATTTCAGGATCTCCAGCCGGTATGGTGGAGGGACCCATAGTTGGTTTTTCACCAACCACGGTTCAGCAGGCGAAGCAGTCGATGGGAAAAAACGTCGGAAGACCAGGTCATTTGCGATGAAATACTCCCCATCGTCGGCTGAGAGGGATTTCACGACCACCGATTGGAGTTCTGCGTCTTCTTTCTGTGCTTTTACAATGTCCTCATGGGATATTTCCAGAGGTAATTCCATGAATGGACCCTCTAGAGGCACAGATTCCGGTTTGGGAATCGGATTGCTCGAAGTCGACTTGCGTAGATCTGGACCTGTATCAGCCGACTGCTTGGTTTGGCTGCGTGTTACCACACAAACTGGATACAGTTCATTTTCATCGTCGGGGTCTGTAGAAAATGGGTTCTGAACTTTCTGGGGGTGGACTTTGCTTCCCGCTAAGTCGTTACCTAGGAGCAAGTGCACTCCTGGGACAGGGATGGAGTCGATTACCCCTAGGATGACCTCTCCTTGGACGAGTTGATGTGTCAGGTTGAACTTGTGTAGTGGAATTACAGTTGGTTCTGCTCCCACTCCTTGTATAATGGTGACATCACCGGTGTTGGTTTCTGGTGCAATGTTCAATGAGTCTCTCAGCAAAAGTGACTGAGAAGCCCCAGTGTCTCTCAGGACTACTATGTTCCGCGTTGATGATGGATCCCCAGGGTTACTGATGACAGCATCTGTCATGAATGACGTGAAGCCAACCGTTCTCGATTCTTCGACATTGGTTGCCTCTGATGTAACCGGTCGGTGAAGAGGATAGTCATAAGATGACTGGACGAAAGTGGTGGGTACTTCATTACCTCCCTGTGGACACGTAGGTGTAGTGTCATCACGACGGGCGGGGTTCACCTTTGGACTTGCTTGATGGGGGAGAGCGTTACGAGATGATGTTCGTATAAACTCTCGGTTGTCTCGCTGTCGCAGGAAACAGTCCTTGATGACGTGCCAAGGCTTCTTGCAATAGTGGCAGATCACTCGTTGCCTGGCTGTGATTCTGGGCTTCTGTGGTGACTGGCGAGATCTCAGCAACTGGCCAACAGGGGGATTGTTGCTCATGAGAGGGAGTACTGGATTGAATCTGGTACAAGACCCCTGTGGTTTCTTATGTACCAGCTCGTAGGTATCGGCTGACTCCACTGCCCTTTTGATATCTGTTATTCGGTTATCCAAGATGTGTAGTCTGATCTCTTCTGGTACTGCATTGAGAAAATCTTCTCTTAGGATCAGACTTTTGAGTTTGTCGAAGTCGTCGACATTCTCAGAATGGAGCCATCTTGAAAATATCTTTTCTTTTTCAAATAGGAATTCAACATATGCCTAGTTCTGATGCTTCCTAATTTTTCTGCACTTAGTTCTGTAGGCTTCTGGAGTTACCTCATAAGCCTTCAGAATGGCAGCTTTGACCCTTTTATAATCGGACTGGACCTCCCGAGAGAGTGCTTGGTATGTGGTGGCGGCCTTTCCTATTAGAACAGTGCTTAATAACGCTGTGACTGCGTTATCAGGCCATTGACAACATTTGGCAAGGTTCTCAAAAGTATTAAAAAATACAGCAAGATCAGACTCATCAAACTTTGGGACTAGTTTACAAAACTTGGCCAATGTTTGGGCCACAGACAACCGAGAAGGATCTCCTGACCTCGTACTACTGCCAATAATACCAAACTCATACTCTAACCTCTTCATCTGAACTTCTCTTTCTAACTCTAATCTGGCCTCAAACTCTCTTTCTTTTAAAGCCAACTCCTATTCTTCTAAGTTGATTTTAGCCTCTAACTCCCTATCAACACTTTTCACCTCACGTGCCAAAACCTCAGTAAGGAGACCCTCATCTAAAATACCTTCATTAAAGAAGTGGACTATAACCTTGTCTTTCAATACCCTAGAGGTCTGAGTACCTGTATACTCTAGGCTTAACTCTTTGACAACAGCTATCAAATCCTTTCTACCTAGCTTCTCAACTGCCTCCACAGTAAGACTTGCCAACAAAGACTCCATAGCCAACTCACAATGTTTACCACCAACTGATAAAAAAAACAACTATCCAAGAACTAGTTCAACTTATTTAACCTTTTGACCTAACTCTAGATCACACACTTAAACTAGTGCCAAACTTGCACACAAATCAAAATACCAGTCGAGCCCTCACTTGTAACGATCGCCGTCTGACAGACGCGGAACAGGCGAACGCCCCGGGTTCGTTTAATGTAGTTAGACAGAAATACCCATGGACAGTATGAGCACACCTGCATCTACGTGGGCTTGTTACAACAGTCTATGGGAACTAACACGTAGGAAAGATGAAACTCAACTTAGGTTGGACAAAGGCTATGGAAGCAAATCCAAAAAGAAAAGCAGGCTGAAATCGGAGTCAATGGCCTCAATGGCGCATAACCAGTTGACACGTAACGCTTAATTGTGTTGGAGGCGTGGTCGAGTCGGCAAAAGCTCATGGTTGATAAATTCGACAAAGTCTCGAGTTCAAACCCACTGGCAGATAAATCTCGATCCCCCTTCAACACTAATATTAAGAACGAAGAAGAAGAAGGAGAACTTAGGTTAAACTGACAACTACTATTTTAATTTGTGAACAAGTATGTACAATAGACATTAAGTCAACACCAAAGTATAATTCATTAAGATCAATAAATAAACCACAAAAATCACTTACAGATAACTCAAAGATACTGAAATATATCTAACAATTAGATATCAAAGTCACAGGTAAGGCCTTGGAGGAATATCACACCTAAATACAATATCATAAACACTGGAATGACCATACAACTTGGTGAAATAACACACCTAAGCAATATCTCATAAACACTAGAATGGCCATAAAACTCGTATGGTGAGGAACTAAAATATATCACCACGAACTGAACAATTCAAATAAAACTTCACACACACACACACGCCGCACTGTGTCTCCCGGGGTCTAGGTCAAAGTCCTCCCTCTAGAAATCTCGGTCGAGTTTATATCTAGGATCAAAACCAAGGGAGGTTACTGTAATGTTGTTAGGCCATTGGTCGAGGATCAGTTAAGGATCTACAATGCTATAAGACCATTGGCCGAGGTTCTGATAAGGATTAAAATCCAAGTCACATGACGTGATGGAGTTCAGTTGACCGAGGAGATCAGGTGAACTAACAACTCTCCCAAGGTCAATTACATAACTCAAGCCAACTAAATAATATAAATAAAGAAAAAGACCAAAGTAGGTCACAAGAGCCACAGCCACAACAAGAGTGACAACCACAACAAGAGCCACATTTACAACAAGAGCAACAACCAAAACATGAGCCACAACCACAAGAGCCACAACCGCAACAAGAGCCGTACTGACCAATGTAAGCCAAAGAGCCGTCACTGTAAGCAGAGATATAGTTGAGCGAGTCTGATGGGATGGCCTGGATAACCTCATAGGAGAGCAGGTTGTTGGGCGAGGTCCGGTCGTTGTCTGTGGCAGCAAAACTCCCAAGACTCCCCAGCTGGGTGGACTGGTCAGCTTTGAAGGTCACGCTCTATCGATGTCAAAGTTGGGATTATCAAATAATGACCGAGTGTAAAGTAGGTTAGGAGGTGGTGGTGGCGGTGATAAAAATTATGCTTAGGACGACAGCGATGGGTAAATTAATTTATGAGGAATATTGAGCGATTGCAACATTTGTTGTTGGGCGAGTGCAACATTTGTTGTTGTGCGAGTGCAACATTTGTTGTTGGGCGAGTGCAACATTTGTTAGTTAAGCGAGTACTCACAGACGTAGCACCAAACGAGCAGGTGTTGTCGTTAGAGTCCATGATGTTGATGTAGACTGGCACCGTCTTGCTGGCGCCGTACACGTCCACAGCCTGCAGTTGTAGCACCACACTTGTGGGCATGGCGTTCTGGTCCACGTCATAGTCCACGTTAAATGTGATGGTGGTGGTGGAACGGTCATACCTGCACGCAGGTCAGGTGACAGGTAATTTGGCAGGTCAGGTGACAGGTGATTTGGCAGGTCAGGTGACAGGTGATTTGGCAGGTCAGGCAAGTTAATACGATAGACAAGTTGATACGATAGACAAGTTGATACGATAGACAAGTTAATACGATAGACAAGTTGATACAATAGACAAGTTAATACGATAGACAAGTTAATACGATAGACAAGTTGATACGATAGACAAGGTGATACGATAGACAAGTCACGTGACATTGGAATGTCCCAGATTAGAGCTTGCTCACCTGAATCTGTTGCTGTTGTTTCCGCTAACAAATCCTATAGAGGTGATTGTGTCACCCTCAGGGTCAACAATGACAGCATCAAGGTCACACAAAGAAACTCCAGCCTGGCATAATAAACTATCATGAATCAACTTTTCCCAATGGGATTTTAGTCTTTTGTAAGCGAAGTGTCTAGTAGACTTAAGCTTCTAGTAGATTTAAGCCTCTAATGGTCTAAGCCTACAAGAGACAAGTCTCATGCAGCTAAAGCCTCTAGTAGATTTAAGCCTCTAATGGTCTAAGCCTACAAGAGACAAGTCTCATGCAACTTAAGCTTCTAGTAGATTTAAGCCTCTAATGGTCTAAGCATACAAAAGACAAGTCTCATGCAACTAAAGCCTCTAGTAGATTTAAGCCTCTAATGGTCTAAGCCTACAAGAGACAAGTCTCATGCAACTTAAGCCTCTAGTATATTTAAGCCTCTAATGGTCTAAGCCTACAAGAGACAAGTCTCATGCAACTTAAGCCTCTAGTATATTTAAGCCTCTAATGGTCTAAGCCTACAAGATACAAGTCTCATGCAACTTAAGCCTCTAGTAGATTTAAGCCTCTAATGGTCTAAGCATACAAAAGACAAGTTTCATGCAACTTAAGCCTCTAGTATATTTAAGCCTCTAATGGTCTAAGCCTACAAGAGACAAGTCTCATGCAACTTAAGCCTCTAGTAGATTTAAGCCTCTAATGGTCTAAGCCTACAAGATACAAGTCTCATGCAACTTAAGCCTCTAGTATATTTAAGCCTCTAATGGTCTAAGCCTACAAGAGACAAGTCTCATGCAACTTAAGCCTCTAGTAGATTTAAGCCTCTAATGGTCTAAGCCTACAAGAGACAAGTCTCATGCAACTAAAGCTTCTAGCATACCTAAGCCTGTTGCAGATTTAAGACACTAGTAAATTTAACCATCAAACAGACTTAAACCCCCAACAGACTTAAACCTCCTATAGACTTAAACCTCCAACAGACTTAAACCTCCAACAGACTTAAACCTCCAACAGACTTAAACCTCTAACAGACTTAAACCTCCAACAGACTTAAACCTCTAACAGACTTAAACCTCCTATAGACTTAAACGTCTAACAGAATTAAACCTCCAACAGACTTAAACCTCCAACAGACTTAAACCTCCTATAGACTTAAACCTCTAACAGACTTAAACCTCCAACAGACTTAAACCTCCAACAGACTTAAACCTCCAACAGACTTAAACCTCCAACAGACTTAAACCTCCAACAGACTTAAACCTCCAACAGACTTAAACCTCTAACAGACTTAAACCTCCAACAGACTTAAACCTCTAACAGACTTAAACCTCCTATAGACTTAAACGTCTAACAGAATTAAACCTCCAACAGACTTAAACCTCCAACAGACTTAAACCTCCTATAGACTTAAACCTCTAACAGACTTAAACCTCCAACAGACTTAAACCTCCAACAGACTTAAACCTCCAACAGACTTAAACCTCCAACAGACTTAAACCTCCAACAGACTTAAACCTGCAACAGACTTAAACCTCCAACAGACTTAAACCTCCAACAGACTTAAACCTCTAACAGACTTAAACCTCCAACAGACTTAAACCTCCAACAGACTTAAACCTCCAACAGACTTAAACCTCTAACAGACTTAAACCTCCAACAGACTTAAACCTCTAACAGACTTAAACCTCCTATAGACTTAAACGTCTAACAGACTTAAACCTCCAACAGACTTAAACCTCCAACAGACTTAAACCTCTAACAGACTTAAACCTCCAACAGACTTAAACCTCCAACAGACTTAAACCTCCAACAGGCTTAAACCTCCTATAGACTTAAACCTCTAACAGACTTAAACCTCCAACAGACTTAAACCTCTAACAGACTTAAACCTCCAACAGACTTAAACCTCTAACAGACTTAAACCTCCTATAGACTTAAACCTCCAACAGACTTAAACCTCCAACAGACTTAAACCTCCAACAGACTTAAACCTCTAACAGACTTAAACCTCCAACAGACTTAAACCTCTAACAGACTTAAACCTCCTATAGACTTAAACGTCTAACAGAATTAAACCTCCAACAGACTTAAACCTCCAACAGACTTAAACCTCCTATAGACTTAAACCTCCAACAGACTTAAACCTCCAACAGACTTAAACCTCCAACAGACTTAAACCTCTAACAGACTTAAACCTCCAACAGACTTAAACCTCTAACAGACTTAAACCTCCTATAGACTTAAACGTCTAACAGAATTAAACCTCCAACAGACTTAAACCTCCAACAGACTTAAACCTCCTATAGACTTAAACCTCTAACAGACTTAAACCTCAAACAGACTTAAACCTCCAACAGACTTAAACCTCCAACAGACTTAAACCTCCAACAGACTTAAACCTCCAACAGACTTAAACCTCCAACAGACTTAAACCTCCAACAGACTTAAACCTCCAACAGACTTAAACCTCCAACAGACTTAAACCTCCAACAGACTTAAACCTCTAACAGACTTAAACCTCCAACAGACTTAAACCTCCAACAGACTTAAACCTCCTATAGACTTAAACGTCTAACAGACTTAAACCTCCAACAGACTTAAACCTCTAACAGACTTAAACCTCCAACAGACTTAAACCTCCAACAGACTTAAACCTCCAACAGACTTAAACCTCCAACAGACTTAAACCTCTAACAGACTAAAACCTCCAACAGACTTAAGCCACTAGACGAAGCTACTTACATTGCTCTCATAAAGATCACAGTAGTAGGCGATCTCATCAAATGTGGGCGCTTCGTTGACGTTCTGAACGTTCAACGTGAGTACATCATTCTGAGAGTCCCTAGGGAGGGGAAGGGGGGAGGGGGCAAGAGGAGTACAACATAAAGTAGGTCATCTTGAATATCAAAGTTTTGTTTCATTTTTACATGAATAGCCGATCTCTTAAAGACTTGCTCGGTTTCTTCTTCTCGTTTTAAATAACACAGGCAAATAAATAAAGAAACTCTAACACAATCCGAAAGGTCTACACAAAAAAAAAAAATTCTCGCAACAGTAAGGGTGGAATGGCACTTACAGTATAAACGGATTATATAAATTTTGAAGCTTTTGACAAAGCAGTTTTCGGGGTAAAATATTGAGCGAAAAGTTCTCAGACAATTATTTGAGATAATCCATCTATCTTTATACTACTTAAACTCAAGTTTGTTTACATGTTTGAATAATTATTTTTTTTTGTTTTTGTTTGACTGTTTGGTTACAGGAGAGAATCAGCACTATGTGTAGAGCTGTACAATACGTAATTAGGTAGAGAACAATTTTCTTTTTTAAACAAACAGTTAATCGCACATTAAAGAAGTTAATTAATCTATTGATATATTCATTGGTAGATTGACCACATTAATTATAACATTTCAGAACAATGACTTTACTTATAGTGACGTCACATGAATTATTTACTTTTATAACAATAATGGCGGCTTCCATCGAAGATTTTGGTGCCAATTCAAAAGTTCAACGCATTATAAAGCTAATTTTCTGTCGGCTATAGCTTTAACGATACGTCTGTTTGCTATTTTTATTAGGTTTCAACACTATTTTCAATTTTAAACAGTTCTTCTAATTTGAGTATACAATAAATTTCTCTAGATCTAGAGATCAGCTGTCGGACGAAGAAAAAGTCAATCCTAGATCTAAAATCTAGAATCTAGGTCAAACCAAAATTAATTAGTTAAAAATAAAATCACAATAAATTAGTGAGTTTCTTTATTAAACTATTTTAGTCCTTAAATATTTCAAATAAATCTTTGCTTTTTAGCTTCACGGATCATCTAATTCAAGAATACAAGGGATTTATCTACCAAGGTTCTAGATTCTAGATCTAGAACTACCGAAAGACTAGACTTAAGCCAGACAAGTCGTAGAATCTAGATCTAGAAAACTCTATTTAGATCAAGATAATAATGATTTTCTATACTAAACTATTTCAGACCTTCATTTTTTTTTATATAACTCTTTGTTGGTTTAGCTATGGATTGGCTAATTTAAATTAAGATAAAATTAAATTTGAAATAATACTAAGGCCTATTCGCGTAAATCGAGTTTCTTAACGCAGACTAAGAGTATAATAATACCAGTAAATACGTCTCTGATCAAAATAGCATAGATAGCTAAGATGTTCTTGTAATAGGTTACCATACAGGTGGCACGGGTTCGAGACACATCGTGTCATTGTAAAAAGAAAAGGATTTCAATTGTTTTTGTGATAGATTGGCAATCAGTGACGAGAAGCCGCGTTGGTTGTTAACAAGCCTTTATTTACAGCCATGAAGGAAAGAGGAAGGAAGTACAATGCACAAGGGACATCACTCATAATAATAACAACATTATAAATATAACTAATACAAGAAGAGTGAGTTCCCTTGACCTCACAATTATCTCAATCTATTACATCCCTTTACCCTTAGAACACAATAACACATCTCTCAATAGAATAATTGATAGTATCCTAAAATCACCAATTATATTGTAACATGAACACTATGGTAGATTACATCCTTACATACAATGCACAATATGCTACAACATAATCAAGATACAAAACAATGATGTCAAAGTCCTTTTGACCTTTAAAATCATAGGTCTAACTTATTTGGGATTTTGATTGTCCTGTTTGACCTTCTCAGTGGCTTTTGATTTGGTGACTCAATATTCTGACCATTTGGATTCTCTATCTCAGGAGGTCTAGGATTTAAATCATTAACTCCAGAATTTACATTTTCTGACTCCAGACAACTTGGTTCACTCATATCAACAGAACTTGGTTGTGGAACAAACTGAGTTGGTGTGAACTGATCAGATTTGGTGGGATTGACAGATTCACACTTATTATCTGCACAAGTTATTTTTAACTGGTCTGCATGTCTACGGACAATAAGTCCATCATTTGTTTTTACTTTATAAGACACAGGTCCTGTACATTGAACAATTTGACCTGGTATCCATTTTTCCTTTCTCCCATAATTTCTTAGATACACATTCTTATTAACACCAAATTCTCTTTCAATGCATGTGTTGTCATGATTTAATGGAACTATTTTTGAATTGGCATCTGAAAGTATTAAATGGCAAAAATCTTTTTTTTTTTTTTTTGATGTCACCCTTTTAGTTTCTGTAAGTGCTAATGATGTTAGCAAAGTTGTTTGATGATCACATTCCTTCTTACTAATGTATTTTCTTTAAAACATTTGAAATTGCCATATCACCATAATCATTTATTAAGTTACAAATACTTTGTTTAGGCAACTCTGACTGATAATGGACTGCATCTTCTCCATCTTTTATATTATCTTCACAAAGGTTTTTATTTCTTATTTAATATGGCCTTAAGTCATCATTCACAGACTCTTCAGGCCAACAATTCTTACAGTACTCATATATTTTTATTAAGCACTCATCTTTTTGTGTTTCTCTTTTAATATCATTCACATCTATATTGGAGTTATCCATGATAGTGAAGAGAACAAATACATCTTCTGGTACATAGCTCAGGCTTTGGTTTTTTAAAGGTAATCTACTAAGACTATCTGCACTATTCTCAGATCCAGGTTTGTATTTCAATTCATAATTGTATGCAGTTAGTGTGATAGCCCATCTTTGAATTCTTGGTGAGGCATGCTCAGGTAGGGTTTTGTTTTCTCCAAATAAACCTAGCAATGGTTTATGATCTGTAAAGATGGTGAACTTCCTACCAAACAGAAACTTATGAAATTTCTTAACACCAAAAATGATGCCTAAGCCTTCCTTATCTAACTGAGAATAATTTTTCTCAGCCTGGTTCAAAGATCTACTGGCAAAAGCAATGGGTCTGTCACCCTTCTCATCCATGTGGGACAAGACTGCTCCTACACCATCTGGTGAAGCATCACATGTCAATACAAGTCTTTTCCCTGGGTCATAGTGAGTTAGTAAGGTGTCAGCAGACAAAGCCTCTTTTGCTGTATTAAAAGCAGCTTCTTGTTGTTTACCCCAGTGCCAAGTTGCATTTTTCTGTAGCAGCTTGTACAGTGGTGATAGTTTACCAGACAGATTTCCTATGAACTTTGCAAAGTAATTTATCAAGCCCAAAAAAGCTCTTAGTTGTTGGGTATTTTCAGGTTTGGGTGCTTCTTTAATGGCTTTTGTTTTCTCAGGTTGAGGTCTGATGCCTTGTTTGCTTAATATATATCCAAGAAAACTAATTTCTGTCAACATGAATTGACATTTATCTTTGTTTATCTTTAAACCTTTTTCACCAACAATTTTCAATACTTTATCAAGTGTTTTAAGATGTTCAGTGTCATTCTTACCAGTTATGTACACATTGTCAAAGTACACACAAACATTTGGAATATCCTTAAAAATACTGTCCATGACAGCTTGGAAAATTCCAGGGCTAGATGATATGCCAAAACATAGTCTTTCATATTGGTAGAGTCCTTTGTGTGTGTTTATTGTCGTATAGACTTTTGAATCTGGATGCAGTTCTAGTTGAGTGTAAGCATGACTAAAGTCTAATTCAGTGAATTTGTCTCCTCCTGCCAAATTCAAAGAAATTTCCTCAATGTTAGGAATAGGGTACCTATTTAGCTCTATTTGCTTATTCAGTGTAGTTTTATAATCTCCACAAATTCTTATAGAACCATCCTTCTTTAACACTGGCACAATGGGCGTTGCCCAATCGGAATAGTCTACCTTCTTTATGATGCCATTAGATTCCAATCTACTTAGCTCATTTTCAATTTTATTCCTCATTGCATAAGGTGGAACTCTAGCTTTGCAGTATCTTGGATTTGTGTCTTTAATGCTTATCTTCACTGTTCTATCATTTAGTAATCCTGGATTACCAAAAACACATTTATTTTCAGATATTACTTTATCTAGTGAAGTAAGACTAGATTCTCTTACATTCTTCAATGAACAAATACTCTCCCAATTTAACTTAAGATCACTTAACCAGTTCCTACCTAGTAATGGTGGTCCATTTCCTTCAACCACAAGAAGAGGAAGTTTAACACTTTGACCATTATAACTTACATGAACCATACACTCTCCTAATACCGGAACATTGTCACCAGTGTATGTTGTTAGACACTTGTGACATGGCTGTAGAGGCACTGATCCTCCTGTGACAGCGTCAAAATCTTTCTTTGTTATGACTGTTAGAGATGCTCCAGTGTCAAGTTGGAAGCTGATGCTCTTACCGTTGATATAAACTGGTACATTGATGGGAGCATGACTTATTGATTTCACAGAGAACAGGTTGAAATCCGGCTGCGAATCAGTTTGAGCATTTTCACTGGTAGAGTGATTCATTGGTTGGGTTAGGTAGTCTTGGTGAGAGTTAACATAGTGCTGCCCTTGGTTGCGGTACTGTCTTGACTGGCTAGATTTAGCGACAGACGAAGACTTTGCAAAGCAGGCCTTGGCAATGTGACCTTGCTTACCGCACTTATAACAAGTTGCTAACTTGAACTTGCACCGATGAGATGCATGGGGACCTTTGCATCGATGACATTTTTGATAATTATTACTAGATTTAGATCTAGGATTTGAACGAGCAGGCTGTTTAGCATAAGTTGGAATGCTCTGATGGGGTTGATGTTTATTGACTAACCTGCTGTTTACTGCATGGATCCCTGAAGGCGTAAGAGATTTCGCCGCATCTGATGACTGCTGGAATGAAGTTGCAAGTTGTATTGCTTTTTCCAATGTTAGATCTGACTCGAGCAGCAACTTTCTTTGAATATCAGGGCTGTTTACCCCTGTCACAAACTTTTCACATAGTCTGTCAGACAGCGTTTCTCCAAATTCACAGAATCTACTTAAATGACGTAAAGCAGCAACATATTCTGATATTGACTCGTTTGGTTGACGAGTCCTACTGTCAAATCTAGCTCGACATAGAAACTTTGATGGGGTAGGCGCATGGTGGTCTGTTAGCAATTTGCTCAGCTCGTTAAAGCTCTTGGTAGTTAGACTAGCTGGTGCGCATAAGTCCTTTAGTAGCCTAAATTGTTGAGGCCCTATGACTGTTAACAAAACAGCTCTCTTTTTGGCTTCTATCGTCACGTTGTTTGCTTCAAGGTAAAAGCTTAACCTATCTAGGTAATCTTGAATGATTTCATCATTCGAATCAAATTCTTTTATTTGGCCATACAGCGCCATTATTCTAGAAATACTTAGCTAATAAGCTCTAGCAAACCTCTTTTTTGCGTAAGTAGGTGCTCTTTCTAGTAGATTTTTATCCTCGTCGCCAAAATGTGATAGATTGGCAATCAGTGACGAGAAGCCGCGTTGGTTGTTAACAAGCCTTTATTTACAGCCATGAAGGAAAGAGGAAGGAAGTACAATGCACAAGGGACATCACTCATAATAATAACAACATTATAAATATAACTAATACAAGAAGAGTGAGTTCCCTTGACCTCACAATTATCTCAATCTATTACAGTTTTTATAATGTGAATAATAAAGTTGCCTATAGTGATATTTAAATATGAAATGTGTCAACCTAACTGAAAAGTAGCTCAAGTTATTGCGTTTGTAAACACACACGCATATACTCAGACACACACACAAACACACACACCTACACAGACACACACACACACACACACACACACCTGCACACAGACATGCTAAAAAATAGCAGAAAAACGTTTTATTGAAACGGTACGATGTAAAATGTCGAGATATTTCACAAAATCGATAACAAAAATTTCTCTAGACGAGAACGTGAGAAAAAAAAATCCCTGTCTTCTAAAAAATAAACCGGGAACGATCTCCCATAAACTTTCTCGAATATTCTTATATAAAAAAGGGGGGATGGGAACTCGGAATAAAGACTTGAATTTTAATCCATTTTAAATACTTAAACTTTTTAAAATAGAATAAAATCTCGTAGAAAAAGAATTGCACACCAGTAAACGCCAAATAAAATGTGCATAATAGTTCTGAATATTATTAGTACTTTATAAATTTACATTCGTTTTTTTTTGAGAAATCGGAAAAAGCGTAAATTAGTTCTTCCGGTAAACTAAAATTACTCAAAATTTGACAGAAGGTAGAGAATTAAATCTTTTACTTGCATGTAAAATTTTATTTATCTATCTGAAATAGTACTCAAGTAATAGGCTTTTGAAAAATTCAAAGTAAAAAAGTAACACTTCCGGTTATCGGAAATCGCTCAAAAGTTGATACTGATCTACGATTTTGATAAAAAAAATTATATATGAAATTTCATCAACCTAGCTGTAACGGTACTCAAGTTATCGTGTTTACATACACACAGACACACAGACATACACACAGACATACGGACAAGATTGCAAAATTATATTTTTCCGTATCAGTGAGGTGTAAAACGTCGAGATTTTCAAAAATATCGATTTTTTTTTTTTGCACGATTACAAGACTTTCTCTATACTTCGTATATATGAAAAAGGAAAAAAGCTCACAAGAATCCGTCACTAAGGACGCATGTTATTTTGTACTGACTGGTTGTCTCGTAGTCCAGTGGGTTGGCAGCGTTAGCTAAGGTTGACAACCTCAACTTTTGGGCTGGTGTTGTGAGAAAAATAATTTATTGGGTTATCAAAATTTTCTTGGATGGAGGTAAGTTGATAAAGGTAAGTTGAATGGAGGTAAGTTGAATGGAGGTAAGTTGAATGGAGGTAAGTTGGATGGAGGTAAGTTGGATGGAGGTAAGATAGATGGAGGTAAGTTGGATGGAGGTAAGTTGGATGGAGGTAAGTTGGATGGAGGTAAGTTTAATGGAGGTAGGTTGGATGGAGGTAGGTTGTATGGAGGTAAGTTGATAAAGGTAAGTTGGATGGAGGTAAGTTGGATGGAAGTAAGTTGGATGGAGGTAAGTTGGATGGAGGTAAGTTGATAAAGGTAAGTTGGATGGAGGTAAGTTGAATGGAGGTAAGTTGGATGGAAGTAAGTTGGATGGAGGTAAGTTGGATGGAGGTAAGATAGATGGAGGTAAGTTGGATGGAGGTAAGTTGGATGGAGGTAAGTTGGATGGAGGTAAGTTTAATGGAGGTAGGTTGGATGGAGGTAGGTTGTATGGAGGTAAGTTGATAAAGGTAAGTTGGATGGAGGTAAGTTGGATGGAGGTAAGTTGATAAAGGTAAGTTGGATGGAGGTAAGTTGGATATAGGTAAGTTGGATGGAGGTAAGTTGAATGGAGGTAAGTTGGATGGAAGTAAGTTGGATGGATGGAGGTAAGTTGGATGGAGGTAAGTTGGATGGAGGTAAGTTGGATGGAGGTAAGATGGATGGAGGTAAGTTGGATGGAAGTAAGTTGGATGGATGGAGGTAAGTTGGATGGAGGTAAGATGGATGGAGGTAAGATGGATGGAGGTAAGTTGGATGGAGGTACTCACTTCCAGATTCGTACGTGAACTTGTACTGATCACCATTGGGGACAACCGTGCATGTGGGGACGAGCTGCGGCACGTATATGTCACTGTAGCAGGAGAGAGAACATTTTGTATCAGGGGAGAGAACATTCTGTAGCAGGGGAGAGAACATTTTGTAGCAGGAGAGAGAACATTCTGTAGCAGGGGAGAGAACATTTTGTAGCAGGAGAGAGAACATTCTGTAGCAGGGGAGAGAACATTTTGTAGCAGGAGAGAGAATATTTTGTAGCAGGGGAGAGAACATTTTGTAGCAGGAGAGAGAACATTCTGTAGCAGGGGAGAGAACATTTTGTAGCAGGGGAGAGAACATTTTGTAGCAGGGGAGAGAACATTCTGTAGCAGGGGAGAGAACATTTTGCTGTTGTACAAGCAAGCGATTATGTTCAGTCCTTTACACTTATAACTTAAAAAGTTGTCTCCGAATAGCATAAATAATTAACTGATTTGTAAAAACGATCAACCTAATTAATTACCAGGTTAGAAGTCTAATTAATATCAAGTGAAGATGTTTAGACTCGAATTCCCATCCCGGTCTACCTATATACGTGATTTACCTGTCACTGAAGGTCAAGGTCATAATGTTGTAGCCACTAGCAGCCGTCTCTAGCACCGTCATGGTTGCAGGCAGGTTGGTGATCAAAGGTCGAGAGTTCATGTCTAAACAAAGCAGAAAAACGCTTTTATTTGTAGGCCTATATATATATATATATATATATATATATATATATATATATATATATATATATATATATATATATATATACATATTCTGAGGTGAGACGTGAATTAAAATGTTGAGGTGAGACGTGAATTAAAATGTTGAGGTGAGACGTGAATTAAAATGTTGAGGTGAGACGTGAATATAAAATAGCTGTAGCCAGGACTGCGGGTGTTGGCTGCAGCCAGGACTGCGGGTGTTGGCTGCAGCCAGGACTGCGGGTGTTGGCTGCAGCCAGGACTGCGGGTGTTGGCTGTAGCCAGGACTGCGGGTGTTGGCTGTAGCCAGGACTGCGGGTGTTGGCATGAAGATTAGCTTGACTCACTGGTCAGTGTGACAAATATCTCAAAGTCGTTGACCGTGTTGACCTTGTCCTTGACTGTGACCGTGATCACGATGTACTTCTCCGTGGCGGCCCTCAGGTCGGTGTTAATAGCCATGATGCCATCCCCTGCTCGAGACAAGGGTTAGGGTTAGGCTGTATCTAGGGTTAGGGTTAGGCTGTATCCAGGATTAGGGTTAGGGTTAGGGTTAGGGTTAGGCTGTATCTAGGGTTAGGGTTAGGGTTAGGGTTAGGGTTAGGGTTAGGTTGGAATCTAGGAACCGGCAGGCGACATCAATAAAATGCACGTATACACTTTACACCCCAGCCATATACACTTTACACCCCTGCCCTACACTCTCCACACCCCAGCACTACACATTCCACACCCCTGCCCTACACTCTCCACACCCCAGCCCTACACACTCCACACCCCTGCACTAAACTCTGTACACCCCAGTACTAGACCACTTTAGACAAAACTACTTCATACCCTCAGCCTTAAACGAGATTCAAAAGTAAAATAAAAACTTACGGGATCCTATAGTAAAATAATCCACTGAAGGTGATGTGGAGATCGAATAGGTCAAGGGGTCATTTTCAGCATCTGTAGCTGAGACTGTGTAGATGACGTCACCTGGGACGTAAGGTCTGCCCACGTCCAATGTCAAGGTTTCTGGCGTGACGTCACAGAATAGTATACTAATTAGTTCACATGTTAGATACTGTAAAAACTTCAAAGATTCTATCAATATTTTGGCTGTCAGTTACTGTAAATACTTCAAGGATTCTATCAATATTTTGGCTATGTTAGATACTGTAAAAACTTCAAAGATTCTATCAATATTTTGGCTATGTTAAATACTGTAAAATCTTCAAAGATTCTATCAATCTTTTAGCTATGTTAGATACTGTAAAAACTTCAAAGATTCTATCAATATTTTGGCTATGTTAGATACTAAAACTTCAAAGATTCTATCAATATTTTAGCCATGAACAAATAATTTAGTTCACCCCTTTAAGTGAGGGGTGGGTTGTGTTCTTATAAATCGAGTTTCGTGTAGATGAAATATCAATACAACACTAAAACATGTAAGATTATACTAAGACATTGAAATAAGAGTGACGCCTATGATAGGATTAGTGACGCTTATGTAAGAATGAGAGTGACGCCTATGTTAGGATTAGTGACGCCTATGTAAAATCTTCAAAGATTCTATCAATATTTTAGCTATGTTAGATACTGTAAAAACTTCAAAGATTCTATCAATATTTTGGCTATGTTAGATACTGTAAAACTTCAAAGATTCTATCAATATTTTAGCCATGAACAAATAATTTAGTTCACCCCTTTAAGTGAGGGGTGGGTTGTGTTCTTATAAATCGAGTTTCGTGTAGATGAAATATCAATACAACACTAAAACATGTAAGATTATACTAAGACATTGAAATAAGAGTGACGCCTATGATAGGATTAGTGACGCTTATGTAAGAATGAGAGTGACGCCTATGTTAGGATTAGTGACGCCTATGTAAGAATGAGAGTGACGCCTATGTTAGGATTAGTGACGCCTATGTAAGAATTAAAGTGACGCCTATGAAAGAAAGAGAGTGACGCCTATGTAAGAAAGAGAGTGACGCCTATGTTAGGATTAGTGACGCCTATGTAAGAATAAGAGTGACGCCTATGTAAGAAAGAGAGTGACGCCAATGTAAGAATAAGAGTGACGCCTATGTAAGAATGAGAGTGACGCCTATGATAGGATTAGTGACGCTTATGTAACTGCACGCTGACCTCTGGGATAGTTCGAGTTTGAAATGACCGGAGCTTGGTTCTGCTGGACGTCGATCTCTAGGAGGGTGGTGGAGGAGTTGGTGTCCAGCTCGTTACGACACTCGATGGTGATGAAGTAGGTGGGGTTTGTTTTAAATGACAGTTTTCCTCCCTGGGCCTGGCCGGTGTAGTAGCAGTAGAAGGCTGGGGGGGGAGGGGGGGGGGGAGGGAGAGGAGTGGTCAATATATTCGCCAGTGTGTTTTTTTTTATACATTGAAACATTTAAGCTTAAAATTAAAGTCACGAAAACAGGACATTGAAATCACAAGTTGAATCATGAGATATTCAACAGTCTACCCATCAGGGACCATAACTCTACCCATCAGGGATAACTCCACCCACTAAAGGCCATAACTCTACCCATCAGGGACCATAACTCTACCCATCAGGGACTATAACTCTACCCATCAGGGACCATAACTCTACCCATCAGGGATAACTCCACCCACTAAAGGCCATAACTCTACCCATCAGGGACCATAACTCTACCCATCAGGGATAACTCCACCCACTAAAGGCCATAACTCCACCCATCAGGGACCATAACTCTACCCATCAGGGACCATAACTCTACCCATCAGGGACCATAACTCTACCCATCAGGGACCATAACTCTACCCATCAGGGACCATAACTCTACCCATCAGGGACCATAACTCTACCCATCAGGGACCATAACTCTACCCATCAGGGACTATAACTCTACCCATCAGGGACCATAACTCTACCCATCAGGGATAACTCCACCCACTAAAGGCCATAACTCTACCCATCAGGGACTATAACTCTACCCATCAGGGACCATAACTCTACCCATCAGGGACTATAACTCCACCCACTAAAGACCATAACTCTACTTAGTGGTGGCAATAACTCAGCCCACTAGGGGCGATAACTCCAGCGACCAACCTGACGTCGAAGTTTTCTTCCATACAGTGAAGGGACCGTTGACTGGGTTAATTTCCTTAACGTTACACAGACAGGCGTCACCAGGATTAGTACACTTGACCTGTGGTTTGATCCATGTACAAGGCTTTAGTTTTGTTATTTACATTTATTTGGCCGCTTTAAATACATGTGTACATATAAATAGAATTTATAATTGCAAATTTCGGCGGCATTTCGCGGATCAACCTTTCACGGACCAACCACTGACAACCACAGAACAACCTTTGACAACCAAATACCAACCTTTAACAACCTCTGAAAACCTCTAACCACCACTGACAACCATTAACAACCTCTGACCAACCTTTGACAACCACAGACAACCACTGACAACCACAGACCAAATAATGACAACCACTGACAACCACAGACCAGCCTTTGACAACCACAGACCAACCATGACAACCACTGACCAACCACTGACAACCACTGACCAACCTTTACCAACCACTGATCAACCACTGACCAACTTTGACAACCACTGACTACTTCTAACAACCACTGACTAACCACTGACAACCACTGACCAACATTGACAACCACTAAACTCACCTCTACAATAGATGTCTCTATGATTGTGTCTTCGTGAATGTTGTAGGGTCGTGTGAAGGGCGTGATGATCTGTTGGTCCAAAAAATTCAAGTTGAGTGATCGCGAGAATCATTCAACAAATTCAAGTTGAGTGAACGAGAGAATCATTCAACAAATTCAAGTTGAGTGAACGAGAGAATCATTCAACAAATTCAAGTTGAGTGAACGAGAGAATCATTCAACAAATTCAAGTTGAGTGAACGAGAGAATCATTCAACAAATTCAAGTTGAGTGAACGAGAGAATCATTCAACAAATTCAAGTTGAGTGAACGAGAGAATCATTCAACAAATTCAAGTTGAGTAAACGAGAGAATCATTCAACAAATTCAAGTTGAGTGAACAAGTGAATCATTCAACAAATTCAAGTTGAAAGAACAAGTGAATCATTTAACAAAAGTGAGCTGCTAATATAATGATATATTTCAAGTGAGCTGCTAATATAGTGATATAAGTCAAGTGAGCTGCTAATATAATGATATATGACAAGTGATCTGCTAATATAATGCTATATGTCAAGTGAGCTGCTAATATAATGATATATATCAAGTAAGCTGCTAATATAGTGATATATGTCAAGTGAGTTGATAATATAATGATATATGACAATTGACTCACAGGAACTTGACATGCTACCATCTTCATGTAAGTTAACATCAAAAGACAGCTGGCTAATAGATGGGACATGTTGGCCATCGATGGCCCTCCTAGTCAAACTCTTGGCCAACTATAGGTCAACTGTCTCTACTAGTCAAACTCTTGGCCAACTATAGGTCAACTGTCTCTCCTAGTCAAACTCTTGGCCAACTATAGGTCAACTGTCTCTCCTAGTCAAACTCTTGGCCAAATATAGGTCATCTGTCTCACCCTAGTCAAACTCTTGGCCAATTATAGGTCAACTGTCTCTCCTAGTCAAACTCTTGGCCAACTATAGGTCAACTGTCTCTCCTAGTCAAACTCTTGGCCAACTATAGGTCAACTGTCTCTCCTAGTCAAACTCTTGGCCAACTATAGGTCAACTGTCTCTCCAGATACAACTCTGGGTGAACTGTCTCTCCAAGGATAACTCTGGGTCAACTGTCTCTCCAGGGACAACTCTGGGTGAACTGTCTCTCCAAGGATAACTCTGGGTCAACTGTCTCTCCAGGGACAACTCTGGGTCAACTGTCTCTCCGGGTATTAGCTTTAAACAATACCGTGGAAGTTTTTCTCCTGAAAATAAATATTAGTTTTACCATAGGTCGATCTACATTTATTTTTGGACATATTTTGCCATCGATATTTGCCCAAATATATTTGTCCATCTATATTTGCCTATCTATATTTGGCCATCTGTAAATAATCCAAATTTGGCCATCTGTATTTAGCCATCTGTATTTGGCTATAATATTTGGCCATCTATATTTTGCAATCTATATTTGGCAACTACATTTAGCCTTCTATATAAATTTTGACCATCTATATTTGGCCATTTGTATTTTTACATCTAAAAGCCCTAATTGGCCATTTGTATTTATCCATCTTATATTTGGCAATCTATATTTGGCCATCTATATTTGGCAATATATTTAGCCTTCTATAATTTGGCCACTATATTAAGCCATCAATTTTCGGCTATTATATTTGGCCATTATATTTAGCCTTCTATATTTAGTCATTTTATTATTATCTGGCCATCTGTATTTGACAATCTATATTTGACAATCTATATTTGACCATCTGTATTTGGCCATCTGTATCTGGCCATCTGTATCTGGCCATCTGTATTTGGCCATCTGTTATTAACTTCTTTTCATAAAACATTCTAGCAGTGAGAGATTTTTACATTTTCTACTTTGTATATCAATTAATTAATTAACTAAAATCTTAGTAATACGTACCGTAAAGAGAACGACTCGTATGGGAGAATTTTAAATATGACACTGAATGAATAATGCGAATGTTATTTTCAAGAACCGAATTAAAAACCAACGGCTGTCCACTCGCTGTGATAAGGCTGCGACCTCTTCGGCCCTGACGGAATGTCTGGCCAATCGATCTCTGATAATATGATGATCTCTTAGAGTGCCAGCCCACCCAGCCCACCCCACCTGTTTATGGGGGGGGGGGGGGGGGGCAGAGTGTCGTTTAGCTCAATGACACGGTGACAAAAGTACCAGGTGAAGGTGGGCCAGTGAAACCAAACACGCCACGGTGTCAAGTGTAAACACCAACTACGTCACGCTTCCAATCATGCGTGAAAAATGGTTTGAACGTTTTTTCACCTCAGCTGTGTGTCTTCAAGTCGGAGGTTTGTTGCTTGAAGTGCTCTGGGTGCCTCATATTGTCCAGGTCTTCTCGCAAACTTGAAAGGTAACATGAGACCGTCATGTCGGTGGGGGGGTGGGGGGGGGGGGGGGGGGGGTGGAGGGAGGTGGAGGGAGTTTAGTTTGTGTAGACTCACATTTTATTGATCTAACCGAGCACTTTTTAATGTATTGAATAAACGGCTTGTAAACACTGCATCGCACTAAATCAAACTTTCATGAATTAAACAACCATATTGGCGTGCCTGACTTTAACATTTTGATCTAGCGGCTAACATTGTGTCATCTGTCATCAGCATGTCAACAATCATTAAACAGCCTGTCAACAATCATTAAACAGCCTCTCAACAATCATTAAACTGCCTGTCAACAATCATTAAACAGCCTCTCAACAATCATTAAACAGCCTCTCAACAATCATTAAACAGCCTCTCGACAATCATTAAACAGCCTCTCAACAATCATTAAACAGCCTCTCAACAATCATTAAACAGCCTCTCAACAATCATTAAACATCCAGTCAACAATCATTAAACAGCCTCTCAACAATCATTGAACAGCCAGTCAACAATCATTAAACAGCCTCTCAACAATCATTAAACAGCCTGTCAACAATCATTAAACAGTCTCTCAACAATCATTAAACAGCGTGTCAACAATCATTAATCAGCCTGTCAACAATCATTAAACAGCCTCTCAACAATCATTAAACAGCCTCTCAACAATCATTAAACAGCCTCTCAACAATAATTAAACAGCCTCTCAACAATCATTAAACAGCATGTCAACAATCATTAAACAGTCTGTCAACAATCATTAAACAGCCTCTCAACAATCATTAAACAGTCTCTCAACAATCATTAAACAGCCTCTCAACAATCATTAAACAGCGTGTTTGCAATCACTAAACCTAGCCACTAGCTTCAACTTTTCCAGCTATAGCGGCTTTTATCATGAGCTCATTTTTACAAGTTTTTTTTAACTTTCTTCCTCTGTTTTTATCTCCCTGTCCGAAAGTGGAACTAATTTTACTTTTGGTTTTTCAAAAGCCTATAACTTGCGTACTGTTTCAGATAGATAAACGAAATTTCACATATAAGTAAAAGATCTAAAGTTCTGCCTTCTGTCAAATTTTGAGTAATTTCCGTTTAGCGGAAGTAGTAATTTGCGTAATTTCCGATTTGTCAAAAAATAAACAGGGAGTGATCTCCCCTAAACTTTCTCGAATATTCTAATATAACACTACGTGGGATGGCGACTCGGAATATAGACATGATTTTTGTTTACTTAAACTTTTAAAAATAGAATAAAATCTAGTAGAAAAAAGAACTGCGCACCAAGCGAACGGCAAAACAAAATGTGCATAATAGTGCGCAATATTATTAGTACTTTATAAATTTACATGCGTTTTTTTTTAGAAATCGGAAATAGCGTAAATTAGTACTTCCGGTCAACGGAAATTATTCAAAATTTGAGAGAAGGTAGAGAATTAGATCTTTTACTTAAATGTGAAATTTCATTTATCAATCTGAAATAGTACTCAAGTTATAAGCTTTTGAAAAATTCAAAGTAGAAAAATTACCACTTCCGGTTACCGGAAATCGCTAAAAAGTTGATACGGATCTACGATTTTGATAAAATACTTATATATGAAATTTCATCAACATAGCTGTAACGGTACTCAAGTTATCGTGTTTACACACACACAGTCACACACACAAACAGACACACACACAGACATACGGACAAGATTGCAAAATTATGTTTTTCCGTATCAGTGAGGTATAAAACGTCGAGATTTGTAAAAAAATCTCGATTTTTTTTTTTTGCGCGATTACAAGACTTTCTCTATACTTCGTATATACGAGAAAGTAAAAAACGCAAATTAATTTTTAAGTATTAGTATTCCGCACTATTATACACTTATTGTTTGGCTTTCCTTGGTGCGCAATTCTTTTTTGTACGAGATTCTATCTATTTTAAAAGTTTTAAGCAATTAAAAATGGATTAAAAATCATGTCTGTATCCCGAGTTACCATTCCCCATAGTGTTATATAAGAATAGTCGAGAAAGTTTTGCAGAGGCGTAGCGACCCTTCCCGGCACCCGGGGACAAACTTTCGATTTGCACCCCCCCCCCTCGAACTTTTGATTTCCACACCCCCTCCCTCGAACTTTTCATCTGCATCACCCCCCCCCCCCCATCAGCCTTTCAATTTGTAGTTCCAACCCAATTTGGCGCCCCCATAAGGTCGGCGGCCGGGGATATGTGTAGTCGTCCCCCCCCCCCCCCATCAGCCTTTCAATTTGTAGTTCCAACCCATTTTGGCGCCCCCATAAGGTCGGCGGCCACTGAAGTTAAGGGAGGTTAATTTTATAGTATATTTTTTAAAATTTATTTAAATGTTTTATGCATTTTTTTTTAAATAAATGGATCGTCTTTTTCTTACCCTAAACCTTACCAAATCACCACCTCAACACCATTTTCAACAAACACCACCATATTACCATCTGCAGAGACCGCCTCAACACAAGCTTCAATTACAACCCTAATACTATATAAAAAGCCATTTGTATGTAGCCTTTAAATTCTACAAACAACCAACTATCTGCGGAAGTTATAAATAGTTGAATGCAATCATTTCTCGCTCTAGGTTTCATTGATCACATGACCTCAGATCACGTGATCGCCTATTCTGGTTCCGTGCCAGATAAAGGTGGATCGCCTTTGGTTTGTGTGTGCCTTACAGATATACACACACGGAGTTTTCGTGTTCTCCTCAATTGTATCAACGACTATCACGACAAAAAAAACACTTAGACCTAGATCTTAGTCTAATAACTATTCAAAACTCGAAATGTTGGTATGAAAGGGAGGTGGCGGGTATAATGCTTGCTGTACATTTAATGTTTGACTATCTTTGTCATTTACCATACGACTTAACTCCATTCACCAAACATACGTAGACGCAGAGGCGTCGCGAGGCTGGGGTGACACCGTGGCGAAAACTTGCATAATATATAGAAGAAAAATGTTTTTTTTTTTTCATTTCAATTATGGGTTCATTAGAGTTAATCCACCTGTATAAATAGTTGACTATAGATAAACTTTACTATTAACTGTGCACTCTTAAAAACTATCACACAGAGATAGGGGGGGGGGAGTTACACCAACTGCAAAATTTACAGAGGAAAGATGGTTTTGTTGAGTATTTGAAATAACTGATAAGTCAATCAACGACCGTGGAGGGGGTGACACCAAAATCTAATAATTTACGATGATTTTTCCATTTGAATTAATAGTTGGATTAATATAATGTGCTTACAAATTACAACCAATAGGCTAAATGGGAGTGGGGTGACACCAATTGCAACTATATTTAAGGCATATGTAGACATATATATATATATATATTTATATACCTATATATACATACACATACATGTGGTGCCGCACCGGGTGACACCCGACATAGCGACACCACTACGTTGACGTCAGTAACCCACTTAGTGTCATGTGTTCATGGAAGGGCCGCTGTTCTCAAATGGAATAAACGTTTCCAAAAGAATACAATAATTCACCAATCTATGGTATGTTCTGATGGTCAGGCTCAGCTAGAGAGATATTTATAGTCACCGAGAATGCATCCAGACAGTGGGGATAGTCTTAATCAGGGGATTGTGGCGCAGGGGATTTGGTCTAAGACTTGACATGGGGGGGGGGGGGGGGGCTAAGACTTAACATGTTGTAGAGGCTAAGACTTGGCAGGGGGGTTGGGGGCTAAGACTTGACATGTTGTAGAGGCTAAGGCTTTGCAAGGGGGGGGGGGGGGGGGGGCTAAGATTTGCAGAGGCGTAGCGACCCTTCCCGGCATCCGGGGAAAAACTTTCGATTTGTACCCCCCCCCCCCCTCAAGCTTTCAATTTAATTTTTCCAACCCATTTTGGCGCCCCCTAAAGTCGGCGCCCGGGGACAAATGCCCCCCCCCCGTCGTCGTCGTCGTTTCCCCCCCCCCCCTCGCTACGCCTCTTGTAACAACAGTAATATTGTTGATAGGATGATACTGTCGTTATTGTGGGTTCGTTCATCCAAGAATACGATCAACAGTGCTTTGTAACTTCAAACTTTATTTACATAGATCCACAAGAAATAATAATATTCCACAGTAGAAAAATAACTATTACATTATAGTCTAGAACAAACTGACGTGGTGACATCTTACTACACAATCACAGGCAAGCACCCTTGTTCATCTTGCGCTCCACTTTTTATACACCACTTTCTCTCCCCTTACGTCAATGAGCGATCTCACAAGAGCATGGAAAAATACATGACGAGTCGCTCAGACTCCGTTGGCCAGGTACTCTACATTCAAGCAACTTCATGTAAAACACAATATAATAAACACGAGCCGACCCGCGGCATATCATACGCCGCTATTTAGTTGTTTTTTTTTTTACTTTTCAGTTATTCATAATTTGTGAATTCGACACTACCAACGCTGCCACTGAAAATATTTCTTTAAAACACTATAAGTAGCTCGTTAAGGACGTTAACCCCCCCCCCCTCCGTTAAAGTAAACTCCACTTAGTTACCCCCCCCCCCCCCACCCCACGTTTAAAATCGTTTCAAACTAAATTATCTGCCCCTAATAGTCGTCACTAAACCCGGCTCTGTAAAAATTTAGAGTGAACCACAGCTCACCAAATGGGATGGTAGGGAGCGCGTTTACAGCTTGTTTTCTAGCGTCTCCTAGAAGAGAATTATATATAAAGATCAGTAGCGTACGCAGGGGGGAGCAGGGGGAGCGGCCGCTCCCCCTCTGGCTATTTTCAGCAAAGTGGCGCCTTTTTGGAAAGTTTTTAAACTCAAAGTTTTAAACAATGATATTTGTTAAAAAAATATTTTTGGTCGGCACATCTTTGTAAATCACAAGATTTCTTTTCATGCAGCAATTAAGCATTATTGTACTATTCTAGTAGTGTCTACGTTTACAACACATATTAACAGCTGCTTCAGTTTGCCATGCTAAAAATAACCAATACGATGCATTGCAATGTTTAAAAAAACCTCTACGGGTAGTACCACTTGGCAAGAGGGGTGTTAAGTTTAAGGCAACTGTATAATGTATTTGCTTACGAATAATTGAATTAGAAAAGGTTATACATAAAACTTCACACTTAATTACTTTATATATAAAGTTTGAATCGTGTGATTAATTTTAAAAAAATTACAATACAGAAACAAATACAACAGATGTTGCACCTCTATTTAAATTTATTTATGAGCAAACTGCGTAGTGGTGGGGAAATTTTGACAAGGTCAACAACTTCATCACGATGAAGTAGTAGTATTCTTACAGTTTGGGCTATAGTGATTACGATTACAAATTATATGAAACAGTTTCAACCCCACCTCACCACCACAATTGTGTAGAGTGACATTAATGTCACACCTAGGTATACACTGGGTTGGATAATTGACCTAAAGTGACCGGACAGTGGTGAATGAAGTTGAACCCCCCCCCCCAACCCACCCCGAACTGATCTGTTAAGTACTTGTAGAAAAACGCGTAATGATGTAACAAAGTACCATACCGCCAGAAAATTAGCTTTTTAAACGTAAAACTCTGTGAATATTGTTTTTGCAATTACCAGTAAAAAGGTGTGTGATCAATACAGTGATCCAACCCATACCTATCACGATGTTAAAAAATGATCTTTAAAGAACACAAAGAAGCAGTAGTTAATTAAAAATATATGATCTGAACTAAAAGACCTATATTTAGTTATATGTAGGCTTTTATTCCGAATGTGGTTCAATAATATAGAAAAGCGAGCTTTTATACCAACTCTGATTTTAAAAACTTTCATTATGCTGTATTACTTTAGCATTTATGATGACGATATATTAAATTTTGATTATAGACAAAACATTTTGTAAGCACAAATAGTGTTAAACAATTTCATAATATTCTAAAGTAATTATTTATTTGTTTTGACATTTATAATCAAATTTGTGGATATATAAATATTTATATTAATAGTGTGATTATTTCCCCTATTTCACTTGTCTTAAATAATTTCCCAGGAATTATTATGTAAGAATTTTTTTTTTTACAAGAACTACAAAACAGATTTGTGTTACGTTCATTGTTTTTTGGTTGTAGTGTGTGTATATTTTTTATTGATACAATTTTTTTTTTGTCGGCCTACATTGTGTTTTATCTTATTTCTTCAGAGTGCTACTTATTTTACATCATAGCGAAGTAATGACATACATCTAGTAATTATATATATATATATATGTAATACACGTATATAGAACGTGTTAAAAATTCGGCGCCTTTTTTTGCTCTTTTCGCTCCCCCTACAACGAAAACCTGGATACGCCTCTGATAAAGATACCCAATAATACAGTCTGTAACACCTCTGAAGACTTGACATGTTGTAGAGACTAAGACTTGACATGTTGTAGTGGCTAAGACTTGATATGTGGGGGATAAGAATTGACATATTGTTTATTATATAAACTTTAATTAAATAACAAAAATCCTAAAACAATTTTTTCATTTAAAATGATTTTAAATAAGAACGGCAATTGTATAAAGCTTGTCATATAATGCCACATTACAACTTTTATAAAGCTGGTCACATAATTCCACATTACAAGTTTTATAAAGCTGGTCACATAATTCCACATTACAAGTTTTATAAAGCTGGTCACATTACAAAGTTTTATAAAGCTGGTCACATTAAAAGTTTTATAAAGCTGGTCACATTAAAAGTTTTATAAAGCTGGTCACATAATGCCACATTAAAACATTTATAAAGCTGGTCACATAATGCCACATTACAACTTTTATAAAGCTTGTCATTTAATGTCACTTTACAAATTTTATAAGAGCTGGTCACATTACAACTTTTATAAAGCTGGTCATATAATGCCACATTACAAGTTTTATAAAGCTGGTCACATTAAAAGTTTTATAAAGCTGGTCACATTAAAAGTTTTATAAAGCTGGTCACATAATGCCACATTACAACTTTTATAAAGCTGGTCATATAATGCCACATTAAAAGTTTTATAAAGCTGGTCATATAATGCCACATTACAACTTTTATAAAGCTGGTCATTTAATGCCACATTACAACTTTTATAAAGCTGGTCATATAATGCCACATTACAACTTTTATAAAGCTGATCATATAATGTCACATTACAACTTTTATAAAGCTGGTCACATTAAAAGTTTTATAAAGCTGGGCACTTAATGCCACATTACAACTTTTATAAAGCTGATCATATAATGTCACATTACAACTTTTATAAAGCTGGTCACATTAAAAGTTTTATAAAGCTGGTCACATAATGTCACATTACAACTTTTATAAAGCTGGTCACATTAAAAGTTTTATAAAGCTGGTCACATAATGCCACATTACAACTTTTATAAAGCTGGTCATATAATGCCACATTACAACTTTTATAAAGCTGGTCACTTGATGCCACATTACAACTTTTATAAAGCTGGTCATATAATGCCACATTAAAAGTTTTATAAAGCTGGTCATATAATGCCACATTACAACTTTTATAAAGCTGGTCACATAATGCCACATTACAACTTTTATAAAGCTGGTCATATAATGCCACATTACAACTTTTATAAAGCTGATCATATAATGCCACATTACAACTTTTATAAAGCTGGTCACATTAAAAGTTTTATAAAGCTGGTCACTTAATGCCACATTACAACTTTTATAAAGCTGATCATATAATGTCACATTACAACTTTTATAAAGCTGGTCACATTAAAAGTTTTATAAAGCTGGTCACATAATGCCACATTACAACTTTTATAAAGCTGGTCATATAATGCCACATTACAACTTTTATAAAGCTGGTCACTTAATGCCACATTACAACTTTTATAAAGCTGGTCATATAATGCCACATTACAACTTTTATAAAGCTGGTCATATAATGCCACATTACAACTTTTATAAAGCTGGTCATATAATGCCACATTACAACTTTTATAAAGCTGGTCACATAATGCCACATTACAACTTTTATAAAGCTGATCATATAATGTCACATTACAAGTTTTATAAAGCTGGTAACATTAAAAGTTTTATAAAGCTGGTCATATAATTCCACATTGCAAGTTTTATAAAGCTTGTCACATTAAAAGTTTTATAAAGCTGGTCATATAATGCCACATTACAACTTTTATAAAGCTGGTCATATAATGCCACATTACAATTTTTATAAAGCTGGTCACATTAAAAGTTTTATAAAGCTGGTCACATAATGCCACATTAAAACTTTTATAAAGCTGGTCACATAATGTCACATTACAAGTTTTGTAAAGCTGGTAACATTAAAAGTTTTATAAAGCTGTTCACATAGTTATTTATAACTGATTATGGTTGAAGTAGATGAATGCCATTACAAAATTGCTCATAAAGTTTGTGAACATGTCTGGATTACATACTGATGATGAATAAATCTATTCCAAGAAAATTGGTAACATTCTATTTTAAGAGAGGTCAAAGTTTACACAAATGATCATTGGAAGTTTTGTATGGAAGAAATAGTCAAGACAATGTTTGGGTTAGATTGTCCAGACAATGTTTGGGTTAGATTGTCCATACAATGTTTGGGTTAGATTGTCCAGACAATGTTTGGGTTAGATTGTCCAGACAATGTTTGGCTTAGATTGTCCAGACAATGTTTGGGTTAGATTGTCCAGACAATGTTTGGGTTAGATTGTCCAGACAATGTTTGGGTTAGATTGTCCAGAAAATGTTTGGCTTAGATTGTCAAGACAAATTTGAATGTGTTATTGCTGCATCAGATCTTTCATTTTTTGAAGTAAATTTTTTCAGCAGTGGCCTTTTACGTCGGGCAATCTGTGGATGAGGTGTTGCCTCCCTTTGACAACCTATATTCAATGGTTTCAGATAAAAACTTCAATTAATCTTAAGATATTTTCAACAAATGCCCACTGACCTTTCTTCAAACTTACCTAAAACAATACTAATTTATACCCTACAGAAGTTCTAACACACATCTGTCATACAGCTGTTTTAAACACACATCTGCCTTGTCGTTCTAAAAAAATGTTTTGGGTGGAGCAAGGTAAAGCTGTGGGTTATTGTCCTGGTGGGAGGGGTGGGGTACATCTGCCAAACTTACATTGTGTAATCTCTTCCACATCAGCAAAGTCCAAGTCCCAAAAATGTTCTGGAGTTTTTGGCCGAGGGTATCTCTCCCTGTGTCTTGAACTACTGTGCATCTTTAGTAGAGAGGATACAGATCCAAAGCTTTGAAAGTACTGTTCAATAGATATTATATAGACATGGTCCAAAAAAACAGGCTAGGTCATATTTAAGTTAACAAACTGATCTAGGCAGGTAGAGAAGTTAACAAACTGATCGAGTCAGGTAGAGAAGTTAACAAACTGATCTAGTCAGATAGAAAAGTTAACAAACTGATCTAGTCAGGTAGAAAAGTTAACAAACTGATCTAGTCAGGTAGAGAAGTTAACAAACTGATCTAGTCAGGTAGAAAAGTTAACAAACTGATCTAGTCAGGTAGAGAAGTTAACAAACTGATCTAGTCAGGTAGAGAAGTTAACAAACTGATCTAGGCAGGTAGAGAAGTTAACAAACTGATCTAGGCAGGTAGAGAAGTTAACAAACTGATCTAGGCAGGTAGAGAAGTTAACAAACTGATCTAGTCAGGTAGAGAAGTTAACAAACTGATCTAGTCAGGTAGAGAAGTTAAAAACTGATCTAGTCAGGTAGAAAAGTTAACAAACTGATCTAGGCAGGTAGAGAAGTTAACAAACTGATTTAGCCAGGTAGAGAAGTTAACAAACTGATCTAGGCAGGTAGAGAAGTTAACAAACTGATCTAGTCAGGTAGAAAAGTTAACAAACTGATCTCGTCAGGTAGAAAAGTTAACAAACAGATCTAATCCGATAGAAAAGTTAACAAACTGATCTAGTCAGATAGAGAAGTTAACAAACTGATCTAGTCAGGTAAAGAAGTTAACAAACTGATCTAATCCGATAGAAAAGTTAACAAACTGATCTAATCCGATAGAAAAGTTAACAGATACCTTTTCACACATGCCACAAGAGGCTCCTGGTAATTTTTCTCTCTCAGCTTTCTTTCTTACAACTTTCACATGCGGCGTTTCCACATATTGGGTCCCAGAACGTGATGGGGTCCCAGAACCTGATGGGGTCCCTGAAACTGATGGGGTCTCACACTGTAATGGGATATCACTGCCAGATGGTATCTCGTACATTGATGTTGCCCTGTAACCAATCAAGTTTAGCCAACATCAAATTATTAGCCAATGAGGGTTAGGGTTATCCACCAACAACTAGATTGAGATAAAAAGGTCTGGTTAACATACCATTATGGACATGATACCCACCTCCTGCGCCCCCCCCCCCCCCAACTTTTTCGAATTAGATTACTTAAAAGCCCCATTAAATATTTTAAAAATCATCTACAATGTAGTTGTTAAAATAAAGATGGTTATAGAAAACTGAATGTTTAGTTTTTGTCAGACTTTTGCTAAAAATTAAATGTATTTGATGTTTTTAGTATTTTCAGTAACTTCAAGTTTTTTAAAAAAAAGGCTTACAACAACGTGGCTGTTTCTATTTTGTCACTAAATTTTCACTGATAAAATGAAAACATCTCTGTTGAAATAGTCTTGAAAAGTCTATGTAATCATACTGATTTTTAAATAAAATCTTTAAAAAAAAGTATGGCAAGCTATAAAATTCTAGTTACAGTTTAAAAACTTAAAACTGTTTTGGAAATATCGATTACATTAATTTTCATATTTTTGTATTGAATATAACTTGTTGAAAAGTCAATTAGAATTATTTTATCAATTAATTCAAATATTTTAAAAAACCGCCCTCAACCTCTTCTTGAAGTCAACTGGAATGGCCAGGGAGAGTAAAACAATGAAAGTCAGAACAATTGTTTTCAATGATAAAATACACAATAGTGGTCTATGATTTATAGCCTAGAATTGTATTTATATTAAATAATATAACATCCCCTATCACCACAACACTCTGACTCTACTAATCCAAAAAAAAAAGTTTTTGTTAAATTACTATTATATTACTAGTAATTATTTATTTGAATATTTCTAGCCTTAATAAAACCAGAATTGGTTTTGTACTTATGACACAAATATTAAAATTTGGTTGAAAAATATGCAACATAAATTTGGAACCATTTGGAATCAGCTTTTCAAGCCTACTGTACATGGCATAACTAGTATTTTAAAAAGTATAACTTTATTATAAAATTGAAGACAAAACATTATTTTCTCTACATTTGCAACTTGAATATTCTTGATTCTTAAAATATTATTTGAAAATTTTTATAAAGCTTTTTTTTTAAATTTATGATCGCTAGAAGACAAAAACAGGATTTTTATTTATGTATACAATAACTAGCTGCGTACCCATGCTCCACAACAGTAAATCTTTTTTAAATGTACTAACTTGGGAACAAAAAAAACTAAACACAACACAAACACAAAAGAAAACACAAACATAACACAACCACAAAAGAAAACACAAACACAATGCAAACACAAATGAAAACACAAATGCAACACACAAACACAAAAGAAAAAACAAACGCGAATAAAAACACAAACGAAAACAAATGCAACACACAAACACAAAAGAAAAAACAAACGCAAATAAAAACACAAATGAAAACACAAAACACAATGCAAACACAAACTCAAATAAACCGGTAGTGATCTCCCCTAAACTTTCTCGAATATTCGAATGTAACACTACGGGGAATGGCAACTCGAGACATAGACAATATTTTTAATCCATTTTTAATTACTTAAACTTTTTTATAATAGAATAGAATAAAAAAAAATTTCACAGTAAGTGAATGCCAAATAAAATGTGCGTAATAGTGCAATATATTATTAGTACTTTATAAATTCACATGCGTTTTTTTGAGAAATCGGAAAAAGCGTAAATTACTACTTCCGGTCGAGAATTAGAACTTTTACTTACATGTGAAATTTCATTTATCTAACTGAAAAAGTAATCAAGTTATAGGCTTTTGAGAAATTCAAAGTAGAAAAAGTTCCACTTACGGTTATCGGAAATTGCTCAAAAGTTGATACGGATCTACGATTTTGATATAATACACACACACACACAGACACACATACACACACAGACATACGGACAAGATGGCAAAACTATGTTTTTCTGACTCAGGGAGCCCTAAACATCGAGATTTGCACGATTACAAGACTTTCTCTATACTTCATATATACGAGAAAGTAAAAAACACAAACGAAAAAACAAACACAACACTCATAACATAAACACAACTTAAATGCAAACGTAAACGCATGGTGCTCACAGTTTAGCCCGTGACGCCAAATTGCACTCTGTCCAAGCGCCGACGGACCCGCCTGATTCAGTGAATGACTATAAAAACCCAAGCTTGTCCGCAAACGGAAAGTTAGATTAATAATTAGTAAACAGTAAGTTCAGTGTATAAAATAAATAAAAGGCAGTATTTAAAATATCTGTGTTTTACCTACCATATTGCACTTTATCTTCTCATGCATTTTTTTTCAGTACTTTAAATTTTAAAAATTTACAATAGAATTTCATGACTAAATTCCATTGCGCACCTAATGAACGTGATGCCGCATCTATAACAGTGCGGAATAGTTGATTAAAAATTATAATTAGTAAACAGGACATTTAGTGAATAAAATAAATAAAAGATATCCTTTTATCAATCCATGCTAATTATAATATTCCAACAATAATGTCCTCTTACAATAATGTCCTCTGCAGATTTGAATTCACATTTTTCTAATTATAGTATTGCATCACTTATTCCTTCTAGGAGGTCAGTAGATTTTAGAATCACATTTTTTTAAATTAGCGTGCGTTGAATTTATTTTTAAATTACCTCCCTTGGAAAATTACAAAACAGTATAATTAATTCGTTTTTTCGACCCTATCTATATATATAATTCTCTTCTGGGAGCCGTTAAAAAACAAGCTGCAAGCGCCTTCTTGCAGTCCCCTCTCTTTCTCTCTATCACTATCACTACCACCCCCACCCCACCCCCACATTGTCTGGTGAGTTGTGGTCACGCTAAATGTTTACAAATCGTAGAGCCGTAGAGCCGGGTTTCTATTAGGGGCAGATAATTTAGTTCGATTTTAAACTTACAGGAGGTAACTAAGAAATAACTAAAAGGAGGCTGCTTTCACGGGGGGGGGGGTGTAGGGTCGGGGTTAGGGGAAAGGGGGGGGGGGGGTTAGTGTTTTAAAGCAAATATTTTCAGTGGCAGCATTGGTACTGTCGAATTCACAAACTATGAATTACTGAAAAGTAGAAAATAAAACAACTAAATAGCTGCGTATGATACGCTGCGGGTCGGCTCGTTATAATTAAAATGTATCCACTTTTTCTAGGAATCTAAACGAAAATTATATTTGACATTGATTCTTTTAATATGTTTTAGCAATTTGCGTGTATTTAATATTTTCTTTACGTTATGCAAAAGAGTAAAAACAGTGGCAACCATAAAATAAATTTCAGTCGTTATATAAACAATCCCTACTCTATTACTTATGATAAGACAATGCGAAGCACTGAAAGGCACTGCATGGTGCGATGTTTACTTTTATGGTGCGATGTTTACTTTTATGGTTCCAAAATCTATAGCGATGACACAAGGAAGGAAGGAAGGAAGGAAGGACTGACAAACTACCACCAGCATTATATTATAGATGATGGGGGAATTTCTATCAACTCATATAGATCTATGTCCATTCTGACTGGTAGCTATTTTTCTCAATTCTGATTGGAAGTTATTGTCCTTGATTCTGACTGATAGTTATTTTCCTCAATTTTGATTACTAGCTATTTTTCTGACATGGTTGCATGTGAATTCACACTCTCCCATTCCCTTCTCAAAAGATCTTTTCCAGATCATTCTCAAGATTGACCATCCACTGTAGTTTCCTTCCCAGCACTTGTATAGCATGTTCTATTCTGCAAATCTTAGGGTGAGCCCTATACATTTTAACTCTCTTTTCATTTTAGATATTGTTATAGGTTAAAAGTTTTGGTTCACACTAGGCTTAAATTTTTGTGTTAGTTTAAAGGTTTTGGCTAATGCTAGCACTAAACTAATGATCCACTAACTTGTTTGACACAAAAGATGGTTGATCCACATCGCTATCTTCAGAGAGACTGTCCTCAGTGGACACACAAACAACTTCAATGGCACTCTCTGAGCTGGTCAGCTCATCATCGCTGTCTTCAATATAAATAAGGTCAAGGTCATCTTCATTCTTGCAACATCTTAATGCTAGACAAACACAAGAAAAAAAAATTTTCAACAAAATTAGGATCACATTGAAAATGTATTAAAGGCTACATTTAATTTGTGATTTAAACATTGCTCATATCTCAAACTTAAAGCAATTTTCTCCATTGAAATTAATTAAAATGCCAAGGATCCGTTCCATCCCCTAAAATGCCACCCCAGTTGTTTTTACAAGCTTTTATTTCATTGTCCTGCTTTTTTCTGTTGTCATGGATCAAAACTGGCAATGGAAATTTCAAACACTTCTAACAGACCAATTTCTTTTAAACTTGGCATGTGGGTCAAGACCTAATGACAATGCAATTTGATATAAAATTTGTCTTTTATGTAAGAAGCACTAAATATATAACAAAAAAATAATATTTAAATAACTAAAAATAAAAGCCTATCTATAAAATCTCATGATGTGGCACTTTTCCGACGAGGTACCACTGTACTTATGAAAATAATCATTGCTTAACTAAAACAAAAACCCTAAACAATCGTTGTTAAACTAAAAAAAAAATCAACTTCACATGATGTTATTTATATTTACAATTTCAGTAAGTAGGCTATATCTCGAGGTAGAAGTATATTTAATGCCAAAACCATTTTTTCAAAACTTAGTTTATAATTACCATTCTTTACTAAACTGTAATCTAATGAAGCTCCATCTAGTGGTGGTGGAGGCTGTGGTAAAAATAAATCAAAGAATGAAACAAACTGACCATGACCAGGGTTTGATACTCAATGATTCAAATCAAACACAAACATTTCAAATATTAAATATGTAAATAAAAGAGTGAAGCATTAAAAAAAATTTCACTCATGAGATTTTTTGATAAAACTTTTCCTCAAATGTACGATTAATATTTCCTTCAACTGCTGTAAGCTCACTAGTTCCTGTTTACATAGGTTTTATTTTTCAAAATTAAAATGCATTCAGTTTTACAACATATTTATAGTAATTAAACAAAACTTAAAATAACAGTAGAAATTTTCTGATTGGTTTAAAAATAATATCACCTGGGCTAGATTGTCTTTGACTCTAACTTTAAGAAGTTGCATATCATTGTCCCCAACAATAAGATGGCTGGGCTGTTGCATATCATTGTCCCCAACATTAAAATGGCTGGGCTGTTGCATATCATTGTCCCCAACATTAAAATGGCTGGGCTGTTGCATATCATTGTCCCCAACATTAAAATGGTTAGGCTGTTGCATATCATTGTCCCCAACTTTAAGATGGCTGGGCTGTTGCATATCATTATCCCCAACATTAAAATGGTTAGGCTGTTGCATATCATTGTCCCCAACTTTAAAATGGCTGGGCTGTTGCATATCATTGTCCCCAACATTAAGATGGCTGGGCTGTTGCATATCATTGTCCCCAACATTAAAATGGCTGGGCTGTTGCATATCATTGTCCCCAACATTAAAATGGTTAGGCTGTTGCATATCATTGTCCCCAACTTTAAGATGGCTGGGCTGTTGCATATCATTGTCCCCAACATTAAAATGGTTAGGCTGTTGCATATCATTGTCCCCAACACTAAGATGGCTGGGCTGTTGCATATCATTGTCCCCAACATTAAGATGGCTGGGCTGTTGCATATCATTGTCCCCAACATTAAGATGGCTGGGCTGTTGCATATCATTGTCCCCAACTTTAAGATGGCTGGGCTGTTGCATATCATTGTCCCCAACATTAAGATGGCTGGGCTGTTGCATATCATTGTCCCCAACTTTAAGATGGCTGGGCTGTTGCATATCATTGTCCCCAACATTAAAATGGTTAGGCTGTTGCATATCATTGTCCCCAACATTAAGATGGCTGGGCTGTTGCATATCATTGTCCCCAACTTTGAAATGGCTGGGCTGTTGCATATCATTGTCCCCAACATTAAGATGGCTGGGCTGTTGCATATCATTGTCCCCAACTTTAAGATGGCTTGGCTGTTGCATATCATTGTCCCCAACTTTAAGATGGCTGGGCTGTTGCATATCATTGTCCCCAACATTAAAATGGTTAGGCTGTTGCATATCATTGTCCCCAACATTAAGATGGCTGGGCTGTTGCATATCATTGTCCCCAACTTTAAAATGGCTGGGCTGTTGCATATCATTGTCCCCAACATTAAGATGGCTGGGCTGTTGCATATCATTGTCCCCAACATTAAAATGGCTGGGCTGTTGCATATCATTGTCCCCAACTTTAAAATGGCTGGGCTGTTGCATATCATTGTCCCCAACATTAAAATGGTTAGGCTGTTCATTAGATGTGTCTATATTTAGACACTTTGTCCATGATGGTGCTTGAACTTTTCTCTTTGGAGTTTTCTTGATTTGCAATTTACTTCTGTATTTTCCTATCTCTCTAGCAAGACGTAACAGTGAGTATAAACGAAGTTTTTTCCTTTGTGGTTGTACATGTTTTGATCTTTTCATGGTTTGAATTTTCAGTTCTGAAGGTATAAAGAGACAGGACAGTTAGACTGAGTTAGAGACAGGACAGTTTGAGTTAGAGACAGGACAGTTAGACTGAGTTAGAGACAGTTACAGACAGAACAGTTAGAGACAGGACAGTTTGAGTTAGAGACAGTTAGAGACAGGACAGTTAGACTGAGTTAGAGACAGTTACAGACAGAACAGTTAGAGACAGGACAGTTTGAGTTAGAGACAGTTAGAAACAGGACAGTTAGACTGAGTTAGAGACAGTTACAGACAGAACAGTTAGAGACAGGACAGTTTGAGTTAGAGACAGTTAGAGACAGGACAGTTAGACTGAGTTAGAGACAGGACAGTTAGACTGAGTTAGAGAGAGATAGAGACAGGACAGTTAGACTGAGTTGGAGACAGGACATGGCTAGCAATCAGTCATCACATCAATTTTCCCACTTACCAAATACTGACATACACAATTAAAGACTAAAATGAATTACATGTGACACTTAAGACTTACATGTGACACAAAGTTTTGATTCTTATTAAAAGCATACACAGGACAGTTAAAATGTGTTTGTTTAATTCGGTTAGGCTGTAAGTTCAGAGTTAGGATCAAGACACATAGGATGAGGGCTAGAATTAGAGTGGCATAACATATACAGTTAAATTGATGGAATTGGTTAACGTTTGCAGTTCAAGTTAAGGGATTGGTTAATGGTTACAGCAGAGGCGTAGCGACCCTTCCCGGCGCCCGGGGACATACTTTCAATTTGGCGCCCCCCTCGGGAGCAAATTTTCGATTTGCACCCCCCCCCCCCTCGAACTTTTCATTTGCACCCCCCCCCTCAAACTTTCAATTTGGCGCCCCCCCTAAGGTCGGCGCCCGGGGACATATGTCCCCCCCCCCCGCCCCCCCTCGCTACGCCTCTGGGTTATAGTTAGAGTTAGGGGATTGGTTAATGGTTGCAGTTAGAGTTAGGGAATAAGTTAATGGTTGCAGTTAGAGTTAGGAGATTGGTTAATGGTTGCAGTTAGAGTTAGGGGATTGGTTAATGGTTGCAGTTAGAGTTAGGAGATTGGTTAATGGTTGCAGTGAGAGTTAGGGAATAAGTTAATGGTTGCAGTTAGAGTTAGGGAATAAGTTAATGGTTGCAGTTAGAGTTAGGAGATTGGTTAATGGTTGCAGTTAGAGTTAGGGGATTGGTTAATGGTTGCAGTTGGAGTTAGGGGATTGGTTAATGGTTGCAGTTAGAGTTAGGGGATTGGTTAATGGTTGCAGTTAGAGTTAGGGGATTGGTTAATGGTTGCAGTTAGAGTTAGGGAATAAGTTAATGGTTGCAGTTAGAGTTAGGAGATTGGTTAATGGTTGCAGTTAGAGTTAGGGGATTGGTTAATGGTTGCAGTTAGAGTTAGGGAATAAGTTAATGGTTGCAGTTAGAGTTAGGGAATAGGTTAATATTAACAGTTATAGTTAGGGGATTGGTTAAGAAACAGATGATAACAAAAATTTAAAAAAAAACATTTGAATGATCACCAAGTACATTTAATCAGTTCTGTTATTTTAAAATAATGAGAGGGCCCACCTAATTGTTTGATGGTGGCATCCTTTGCTTGCAGCAAGTTGGTGTAAAATTCTTGCTGTTGTTTCAGCATCATATAACAGGTGCACTGCAAACCTTCACCTCTACACAATAACAAACTTCATCAAAATTAGGAAAACATTTAATACGCTTTAATACAAATATTCAAGTATCTCATGTGAACTTTCAAAAAACTTTTTAAAACATTTGTTTGGTTAAAATTCTTTAATAACAAAGTCATAACCAACCTTTTTTTTTTAGAATGCTGGTACATAATCTTCTGCTTTTGCATCAATCCTGTCCATTAAAAAAAAAAATGTTAAGAGTTAGATTCTATATAGATTTCTACATCTGAGTTACACAGAAACTTCTGGTGGGTGATCTGGTCCCAATTTTGGCTAGAATTTTTTAATGTCATTTTACTGGAGGTTTTGCCCAATAAATGAGCACCAGTAGATTTTCCCGAGGGGTCAAGCTTAAAATTGTAGTAAACTTACAGTGGTACATCGAGATGCAAGTTTAATTCATTCCGAAATATTGCTCATTTGTCAAACTGCTTGTATTTTCCCCATTAAAATCAATTAAAATATTATAAATCTGGTCCAACCCCTAAAATGCCAGTTGTTTTTGATAGGTGTTTTTTAATAAGAAAAGTTTGTTTATGCAGGACAAATATTGTTTAGTAAAATAAAAAACCATTATAGAAAAAAATAGACTTGTTTTCTAAAGTGTTTCTACCTTGAAAATCAGCTGACTTCACTTCTTTCACTTACTCAGAGTTAATGCTAAGCTTTTTCTGTCAATTTAATCCCTTTACTCGTTACATTCTGACCGGTACACATTCTCCCTAAACTTAGAACTTCAACTTCACTGAACATAATTGAACTTAAACATTACCATATAATTTTTTGTTACTTTCACTTAATTTTCCTCATTGATTTTCTCTTCGCAGGTCTTAGTTTTTTAGCCACGCTTTTCTCACATTCCTCACTATTCCACACAGACTGTTCAAATAAGCTAGTCAAAGGTTTTATTCCCAACCATTACAGAATGTCATTAGTAGTCCCAATGCACAATCAGTTGCAACTTTTTCGAGGTATGTCTTTATACGAACAATTAAACCTGCTAATCCAGTTTCTCATATCTCAAATTTTTCTCAAATGACAAATTTTACTCATGTCAAATTTTTCTCGTCTGTCAAAGCAAATTTTAGTTCACTTTACAGCTCTCAAAAATCTCGTTTGTCAGGGCACACACACACACACACACAAACTGTTTTCTAGGGAAAAAGCTCTCAAAAAGATGATGTTATATGAAAACATTTACACCACAGAACCAGTGGCGGAACTAGAAAAAATGGGCCACCCCGCAAAAAAATTTTTTGGGCCCCCCATGTATATATATTATATATATATATATATATATATATATATATATATATATATATATATATATATATATATATATATATATATATATATATATATATATATATATATATATATATATATATATAAAACAAGGTTCGCTCTCAATTTAAAAAAAATTACATCTGGTACACGAATAAATCAGAGGTTTTCCAACACACGAGCTGGCCCCTTTCTAAATCTAGTCCAACACACCAAACTGAGGCTTTCATCAAAACGTTACTAACCGTGTGCCCTGTTTTCCAGAAGTTGAATCAAATGTTAACAATGTCGGCAGTTCATTTCTTGGATCTTAGGGCGCGGGTTTGTCCACACTACCAACTAGACACGCCAAGGCATGCTGTAAATCTCTCTGCGACGGCCCAGGTGTCAGGGGAGTCACGGGGCTCTTGGAGCTACCGGTTACATTACTGCACGGGTGATGGGTGTGACACATTGTTTCTTCCGGCAGAGCTCCCCCCCCCTCCCCTCCCCTCCCCCGAAAACAGTCTACCCTGGAAGAAACATTGGTGCGACACCTAATTAGATTTAGTCATCGAGTGTTGTAGCGAGACTTATTCCTAGTGTTGTGGGAACTTTTAAACGACTGTCTGTGGGGGCCAACTTGCTCATATGTGATGCGCTCAGGATGACACTGACGCCGGTTGTATTCAAGTAGTAACCTCATCCACTTATGCAGTATCACGGGGCGCTAAATCACATATTTCCGTTAGGAGTCCCCACTCAAATATGTACAAATGTTAGGCCTATGACAGAAACCTTTGCGGGGCTGTACTCAACAGCTTCCCAAGTTTTCATGGCGATTGGGTGAATGATGCAGTAATGCATAATAATATTAGAGAGAAAAATGTTTTTCACATGTACAACTGTATGTGGCCAGGTCACGCGTTGGATAACCTTCTGATTTAGGGGAGGGGGGGGGGGATTAACAAAAAGCCAGACCCTCACACACCCCCACCTCAACGACTATTAATAATGTTCAATTAATTCGAAACGTTCTAATTAATTTCTAAATAATTATATAAAAAATAATCTTACCTGCCCTGTTTTGTGAATTAGATTTGCCTAATACTATGAAAGTAAATTAATATGTGTTGACTAGATCTAGTGCTGTCTAGTGTCTGACAAAATGTGCTGAAGTGGTGAATCGTACGGTTAGGAAGTAGTTCATAAACGATACATTTATCTCCTCGATACTTGTGAGGTTGAGAAAGAGGGATGGGATAGGGGTCGGCTCGGGAAAAAAACTTGAAAGGGACAACAAAACGCCTTGATCTATGTACGTCAGCATCGCCCATTGTAAAACTTACTCAGGGGAGATAATTTGAAGTATAGGCCTTAAAAGTTTACTATATTTCTTGTAAAATCAAAAACAAGTAAACGTATATAAAACTGAAGTTTCTAGTATTATATTATTTTTTTAAAATTATTTGTACGATACAAGATAGTACAGGATACAAATTCAACCACTATCACAAACATATATTAACATTGAAAAATGTACAATGGATTTCGGGTCCCCTACCAATGCCGCGAATAAGCACCGCGCATCATGATAGTATTGAAAGCCCACTTCATATGTAGCGGCTTTTCGTGCTATGGACTTTGTTGTTTTTTTTTAAAAGAATTTTGCCGGCGACAGCGTGTGTTTGATTGTAGGGAAATAGAACTCGGCCTTGACGATGGTTAAAAAATACAACTATAAATAACTGTTTTAAATATGTAAAGAATTTGTCGACAATTTTTTAAACCCCTTTTTGGTCCCCATCCCCTGCCCCATCCGCCACAGTATACTTTGGAGGATCGGTCAAACAGTTACGTGTCCTCTATTTAGCTATCAAAGGGAGGGGGGGGGGGGGCAACGAGTCAAAGAAGTCATTCAAAATTTGAAGAGTAATGTAATGGATTTTATCTTTTGCGGAAGAGCGTGGTACAGTACAGTAGTTCATAGACGGTTTGTTAATCTACGCATTACATCTTACTGTAAGAGTAAGGGTGTGGTGAGGGGTAGAGGTGAGGGGTAGGGGAGAGGAGAGAGTTGGGAAGGTTCATTGGAAGGGGACAAGAAAGTGCCGATAAACATCTACATCAATAGTGCCGACTTTATCCGGTCGTCTAGAAGACCAGGATAGTCGCCGACTCGCTGGTCGCCGCAACATTTCCCCAGCCCGATTTCAAAGCGTGCCGGCAAAGTCAAATTTCAAATGCTTCGCTGAAGGGAAATAACTTATACTTTTACAAGTTTATTGATACAGTTGTTAAAGTAAAAATGAACGCAATTATAAATGTATGAGATCGAAATAAATAATTATATTTTTTGTAGAATTCAGGCCAGTAGTTTAAACACATAATCATAGATATGTGTTTTAATAATGTAAACAATATAACAATGTTTTTACTTTCTCGTATATACGAAGTATAGAGAAAGTCTTGTAATCGTGCACAAAAATCACATTAAATTTTACACTGTAGTTTGTGTAATGGATTTTATCTTTTGCGGAAGAGCGTGGTATAGTGACTGTAAAATAAAGATAATCGTACCGCAGCTACAGTGTTTTTCTTTTACAAACCAAATATTAAGGCAAAAATTAAATTCAAAATTTAAAAAAAAAAAATTTGGTTAGCCGTGGGCCCCTAAACGGCCTCCCCCCCCCCCCCCCCCCGCGCATTGCGGGGTCTGGCGGGACTGTAGTTCCGCCCCTGTTCATCAGGTAAATGAACAACTACTGACTAGTGTTTTTAACAAAATGTGCAGAAGTGGTCAGTTTACAGTTCATAGACGGTTGGTTAATCTATGCATTACATCTTATTGTAATAGTAAGGGTGTGGTGAGGGGTAGAAGTGAGGGGTAGGGGGGAGGGGGGGGGGGAGAGAAAGTTGGGAAGGGAAGGGGACAACAAAGCGCCGATAAACATCTACATCAATAGTGCCGACTTTTTCCGATCGTCTAGAAGACCAGGATAGTCGCCTCGCCGCAACATTTCCCCAGCCCGATTTCAAAGCGTACCGGCAGATGCTTCGTCTTTGAAGTTGTCTATATGTCTGGCGGTCTCTCGAGCTATAGTCAGTGCATTTTTCTCAAAGACGTTTGCCGACTATCGTGTTTGTTTGTAACTGTAGAAGAAAGATAACTCGACCTCCACCTAATTTATTTATTTTTTTTTTTTTTAAATAATTTAGCCAGGATTTTTGGGCCCCCAATTGGTCTGGGCCCCCCCGCATTGCGGGGTCTGGCGGCACTGTAGTTCCGCCCCTGCACAGAACATGTTTACTTATTTGCTGTGAGTTTTTTTTTTCTAGACATGTATAGTAAACATGTTGAAAGTGTAATTGTGTGTAAGAGTTATGAAGGTCTATTTATATTATTCTATATAATTATGAAAATATATATTTTATGAAAACTCATAACAGCTTATAATTAATAGATAACTAATGGGGTATTTAGGCCCTACCTAATTTAACTAATTATCTATAAAAATTCTAATTGTATCCTATTTAAATATTATAAATAATATTTTTGCTCTATAGTCTAGATGTAGATCTATAGGCCATATATATAGTGTGTATAGTAATATAGCCTACTTACTAATTAGTGATAGACTACAGAAAGGCCTCATTATTATAACAGCCATAACAATGAAAACTATTATTAGGCCCTATATTACTACATTATTATTAAATACAATTAATTGGATCTAGATCTAGATAGACTAGACAGATAAATCTAGATAAAAAAAATAAAATTTAACCCATTATTTATTATGTAGTATAAGCCACTATTCGTCTATTAGGCTATTACTACTAACTATTAATAAAATTACCAAGCAAATTAATAAACACCAACATTTTACAATTATCAACAATTAAATC